GAGGCATTCAATCCTTAATACAAGTACATATCCAAGTTCCCTAAAGTGGGTAAGATGGTATTTGGCTTTGAGAGAGACTTTTCTCATAATGGAAAGGTACAAGCACTGGCAAGAGGCATGTGCTTTGGTTCTGCTTGCCTGCCTGGTTTTGCAGCCTTCATGTGGATAGCATACGACACACTCCACATTTTCACATACCTATCTTTTTCTTTTCTTTTCATTTCATGGATTTTATCAAATCTCCATCTCCACAGCTCGAGCTCGGCTTGCATGCTTTGTCTCAACCCAGCCTGCTCTCAGACTCGAATTTTAATGAACAAGGCCATCTGTTAAGTTTTGGTTTTTACTTTGTGGTTTTACTTTTTTGGAAACTAGGGTTTAGAGCTGTGAGATTCGACCAAAAAATAAAGAACTGTGGGAACCCATGTGGGGGTTGCATGAAAAATTTAGACAGTGAAACTGTAGCAACTCATTGTCCAAAGTTTTAACCGTTAAGATCCATTAGATTCTTATTGCAAAGATTTAACAGCTGATTTTTTGAACTATTCAGTGGTACGTACTATATCATCGTATTTGAAATTAATAGTTTAAATTTAATCTCTAAATATACGTCATATTTGGAATTGGAAATATATGTGTACCAAATCATCGTGAATAATTTTTTACGGAAGTTAACGACTTAGATCAATGATTATACATGTTGTTAAATTCAAAGACCTCAATTAAAAAAAAAAAGAAATTTAATTCAAAAATCAATTGTAAATTAGAATAAAACCTCTTCCTAAATTTTTCTCATTCGAATCTTCTTTCTCTCTGAGTTTGAGTCCTGTATGGTAATAAGTTGCTAACATGTGATTTTTCTTTTTTGTTCCTTTTGGCTGAGAGCATGCATGCGTATCAATTTAAAAGGCCAAAAGCCTAAGCATTTCTTCCTTATATTATTAAGTTGACTGTGCGGAAGTTTGTATGCCTTTTATCTCTAGTAATGATTAAATAACGTAACCAAACACGAGTTAACCACTCACTGAAACCTCAATTTGAAAATTTTCTCTCCCCTTGACCTTCACTAATTATGAAAAAGAAAAATAGAATATTGAGCTTACATATAGCAAACTTTTAAGTACCGAAAGTGATTATCCATAAAACACTTTGATTCAATAGTATTTTTGTTAGTAACATTCGTCTTAGTAGCACTTTATAACAAGTACATGTAATATGTTTGACATTGTTGAACGAAAACACAAAACATACTGGTGTTAGCTAGATGTGATCCATATTAGCCCAAAACTTTCAATGGACATTAAGCAAAAACACTACACAAATTTAAAATATATATTCTCTAAAAGGCGCATAGAGATCGTGAAATTAGGGCAGAAAATATGAACAAATTAAAACACTAAAAAAATTTCCTTTCAAAAAAAAAAAATAACAATTTTGGGACTATGTAACACTTTACGAATACAAAATTTGGTGCGATGGGTTAAACCTTTTTTATTTGAGAGTACGAAAATGTATATAATTCAAATTAAAAGATAGTCTGCAACTAACAGGTGTACACTTTCTCTCAATGCATGCAAGTAACTGAAACCCTTTTAAGTTTAGATCTATAGATGTTTTACAACTTTTCTCAACGGTACATTTCTTTTCCTGCAAATTTTTTGCTGTGAATATTCCAAGTGTTTGACTTACAGCTGCCAAAATCCTGCGAACCAGAATTTGGGATCCTTCAATTATATCCGTTCATCGTATATCGTAAAGTGAAAATTCATTGTAAATTTTTTTATTTAAATTGAATATAAACAGTATCTGACAAAAACTGATCGTATGATGTACAATAAATATATGTGATTTAAGGATTCTCAGGATCCTCACAAAGAGAATCCAGCCATCTCTCAAGAGGACTGTCAAAGCTTTGTTTGTCATATAATTAACAATCATGTCATCCATTGCTTAATAAAATAATCAAATTAACCACCAATCTCTAATATATTTGAATATAGCTAGGGCACAATGTTCAACATAATATTTATACAAGTAATATAATAAGGTATGTTCAAATTAACTTCAAAGAGGACTGTACAAAGAGGATCCGGCGATCTCTCAAGAGGACTGTCAAAGCTTTGTTTGTAATATAATTAACAATCATGTCATCCATTGCTTAATAAAATAATCAAACTAACCACCAATCTCTAATATATTTGAATATAGCTAGGGCACAATGTCCAACATAATATCTATACAATTAATATAATAAGGTATGTTCAAATTAACTGTTCAAATAAACCACCAATATTCTGTTATGTTTGAATATATAATATGTATGTATATGAGTCTGTTCCTTAGACATCAACGTAATAAGGTACTTCTGCCTTTTTGTGCGCCTATAGTTGGATGATAAGTAGACAGATAAAAAATTTATCAGCTGGTGTTATCCAAACTTTCCCAATGAATCAAATGGGAGAAAAAGGCTGTCATTCTCAACTCTTTTTATTTGGAAAAAGATTATTTTTTCAAGGATCCTAAGAATTCCATGATCATGACTGTTTATCGTATATCGTGCGGTCAGTTTTCATTAGGTACTATTTATATTTAATTTTAAAATAATTTCTAACCGCACAATGTACGATGAATGGTCACAATCACGGAATCTTTAAGATTCCCTAAAAAAAAAATCCGACGAAGATCCTTTCCTTTTATTTGATACCGAATATCTTATCATCTCTGCCTTTTGTAGTATATCAAGTAGATATGTCTAGATCTGTATGCATGATTATTTGTTGTAAAAGTGATACTCAGTCTTCATTTTATTCGACTAGATTGTTTTCAACATATGTATATCCGACTAATATTTAATAAATATTAAAAGAAAAACAAGGCCGTTACGTATAGTCAATGTGAATATATGTACAGTACGTGATCCATAATTCCATATGGTTATTTGTATGATGTCTCATTTGGTGGTTAAATTAGAGAATAGTGATTTTATCTTTTAATTATTAGTTTTGCGCGATTCTCTCCAAATCATCTCAGCTTTGCATTTGGATTCATTTTGAAGGTTATATCAAAGTGGATCATCGAAGAAGATTTACATATATTTGACGCCAGATTTAATCTTCATTATGATATAATTTGCAATTGTACTGAAAGATCTTTGATTCTCTAAAGTTGTATTACTCCAGCATTATAATTTTGTTGGTTTCGATAATACTATTGTCTATAGATCATCTTGTTTTCGACAGAACACAATATCAATATTGCGCACCAGATTCTCCCAAGTCCAAGCAGCTGCCAATGCCACGCCAACAGAGCCGACAGTGGAACGAGACATATGAGAAGAAAACAATTCATGGATTCCTCAAACATAAAAAAAAAACCCAAAAAAAATCAGAGGTTTGACCGATCTCTTCGACAGTCCCAAGCCGTTGTATGGTAGAGACAGTCATGATTCGGTCTCTGAGTTTTAATTATATCTGGTGGATCTAATTACCCTCTCTCTTTCTCTCTCTCTCTCTCTCTTCGTATCCCATGTCGCACCATCACTGACGCCGCTTACCACGCTTACCACTGGTTCTTCTTTCTTTTTTTTTTTTAAATCTTTTACATGTATATAAAAACCCATTTTAATGATATTTAATACCAAATTAAAGTTGAATATAATCAGAAGAGTGTCCCTTATTTCTTGATGTTCCTATCCCGAAAGACCATATTGCCCTTTCAGTGTTTGTCAACTTCGAACGTGGTGGATGGGTGCAGTGCATGTATATTTGGATTTATACAAATTGGGCGGAGAAATGTGCTCTACTCTCTATAGCAATTTTGAATTTCTTTTTTCTAAATTTGTTAAAACATGGTAGAGGTTTGACTTCTGCAAGCATCATATGACAATTAAGAAGATGAGATTAACAATTGCAGAACTCTTTATTGTGGTGAAAGAAGTCCAATTGCTACACCATGGCCAGCTTGAACTTTCAACCACTAACATGAAGTCTCTTAAATACTTTTCCATTTTATAGTGATTAATTGGTGATATTATGGCACAACTACATTGTGTTATATGGCAATTTACATGGTGAAAATGTGGAAATCTTGGACATCAAAGACTTCAATAAAATGGACCCATATTGTCAAAATTGGTAATCAGAAAAGCATGACAGAGTGAGGAGGTTTAGGTTAATATGTATTGTGATAAAATTAATGAATAAGTAAGATATTTGTAATTCAAGTGTTTAAGAGCGTTTACTGTTACGATAATGAGGAGTGGTTACTAACGGCATGTTTACTTGAGAAGGAAGGGGAATATAAAGGAATGGGAATATGAAAAAAAGTAGTTTTATCTGCACACTTTTTTTTACCTTCCACACTCTCTGCTAATTTTCATCCTTCGATCCTCTTCAATTTATTTAATTCAATAACTGAAAATTAAGAGAAATATGTGGATAACACCGTCTTATGAAAAATTAAGTATGAGGTAAACAACCCCACATTGTAATCTCATACCTTGATTTTTCAGGTATGAAAATGTATGAGATACCCAAAACATTTATCTTTTCCATTCTTCAGTTGTTAGTAGTAAAAAAATGAGAACCCTACAAATCCATTCCTCTTAAAGAAACATGCCCTTAGTAGAGTCTCTTCTCCATGCATGCATTGGTGGGCAATTTAGGGTTTTCAGGAGCATCCAATTAGGAAGAAGAGAGATGGTGTACTTAACAAAACCAAAGGTGCTCAAATAATCTAATTAGTACCAAAACTTTTATTATTGCTTAAAAACACCCATTATTTTCAAGGTAAATTTAGAAGGTTGTGCCAGAAAGTTTTGGCCCACCAAAAACAATCCCATTTCCTCCCTTCCTGTACTTTTTTCGGTTAGGAGAATAGCTGCAGCTTTAGAGAGAGAGAGAGAGAGAGAGAGAGTCTCTCAAGGTGTGGTATCTCCTCAGAGACCCACCAAATTGCCATAAACAGAGCAAGCAATATTAAGAGGGGGTGGAAACTGAGAGAAAAGAGAGAGAGAGAGAGAGAGAGAAGAACAGAAAATATGGAAGGTTGAATACAGCGAAGCAATTGTTCATGCAGACCCACCCCCCACAATCCTACATTATTATTATATATTTATATATTCTCACATATATTTATATAATATACATTATATTATAGATATATATATATTATATTGGTCGAAATATATACACACACATATATAATTGCATATTGGTGAGAAAAAGAGAGAGAGAGTGGTGATACAGCAAGAAAGCTGGTCCTTTGGTCTCTGCTGGTCTTCCATATTTCCATTGGCCACCACCTTTGCCCACTATTGTCGTGGGTTCCCACTAGCAGCTTTTTTGTCTTCTCCATTCTTTTCTTCTTCCAATAATTTTAAAAATATTCATTATTTCTCTGCGTTTTTCCTCTGATATTTCTTCTGACTCTGCGTTTAGTGTTTTTGCATATAAATATTTTGATGGGGTGGTAATATTTTTTTCTCTCTCTCTCTCCCCCCTTTTTTTCCCACCCCAAACAGTAATGATTTTCTCGTTAGGGGAATCGTTGTTGAGGAATCTGAAGATTTGTGAAAAAGAGGCGGTTGTAGAAGAAGAAGAAGCATCCTCATTACAAAAAACCAGTCATTTCACAAACAAGAAGGAGAAGTCCAAATAGAATCTCACTAACTGCACGAGTGTCTCTCTGTTTTTTTTTTCATGTGATCTTTCCAGAAAAACACCCAAAAAAATTCGGTTCTGGGTTTGTTTTTGTTTTTCTTTTTTAAAAAAAAAAACAATTAATCTTTTTGTTTTTGGGGGTATTTGTTTTTGGATTTGATGAATCAAGGAAGGCAATTTCAGATGGTGGGGGGGATTAATTACATGAATAATCAAGGGCAATACAATGACACAACTTTTACCAAAATCTTTGTGGGAGGGTTGGCCTGGGAAACTCAGAGGGAAACCATGAGAAGGTACTTTGAACAGTTTGGTGAGATCTTGGAGGCTGTTGTGATCACAGATAAAAACACTGGAAGATCCAAGGGTTATGGATTTGTAAGCAAACCCCATTATTTTGTTATGATTTTTCTGATTAATTTGAGTTTGGTTTTAATTTATGTTTAATATTTTGATTAGGTTACATTTAAGGATCCAGAGGCAGCCATGAGGGCATGCCAAAATCCATCCCCTGTGATTGATGGAAGGAGGGCAAACTGCAATCTTGCATCTCTTGGTGCACAAAAGACCCGCCCACCGACTGCTCCCCATGGTTTTTGCCTTTCCCATACCATATATTAACTCTTTTTCTTTACCATTTCTTGAATAATTTTGTTCTCCGACTCGGGATAAATCTTCCGCCCGATGTGAGTGCCCGGTCGACGTACTGTATTATGCCGGTGGACTGAGCACTCGAATTCCGCAGAAATGTGCTAGGGTTTGGAAAGAAAGAAGAGACACAATGTGTTTGTTGATTTTGTGATGGTATTGCTGCAGGTGCAGGAAGGTTTAGAGCAGCACATGGGTTGGTGGCTCCACCAGCTGCTTATCATGGATCCTCATCAACCTATTTCCCTCAACCCACTGGCCAATACACATTTCCTTATTCAGCTTATGGGTAAGCCTCAAATTCCCCAAAACAAAAACACACCCAAATCTTTCCTTTTTTCTCCATAATTCCGAGTTCAATTTACATAAAACGAATTCACTCCATATTTTCATTTTTTTGGTTTTGTCAAAATGTTTTCATCCATTCCATATCTGATTTGTTTTTTCCCTTGTTTTTGGGTGTAAATTTACAGGTACACTGGATATTCACAAGATTCCATGTATCCCATGGTATATTTTTTATTTACCATTTTAAGTGGGCACATAAACTATTTATTTTTCTTTATTTTTTCTTAAGCTGACTTTTGTGCAAAATGCATGTTATTGTGCAGAACTATTACAGTGTCTATGGTGGTGGTGGCCAACAATTCTCACCTTACTACACCACCACAACTGGCGGGGCATCAGGGCCGGCTGGAATTTACCATAATGTCTACCCATTTTATGCTCAATATGCTCAGAATAGTAGCCAGGCTCATGCCCTTGCTGTCCAATATCCCCAAATGGTACAGTACCCTTATTTGCCTCCTCAACCCTTTGGCTCCACCTCCACAACTGGGATCCTCTCTCTTCCTCCTTCTTCAATGCCAATCACCACCCCCACAACTACTCCAGGTAAAAACATTTTAACCATTTTCCCGCTGATATTCCAACATGAGTGGTTTGAGATACCGTCACTGTGGTACCCGAGAGGAATTATCTAGAGAATTTACAGTTTACATGCAAAATGTTACAGGTGCAACAGCAGCAGCAACTGGGGTCACATCAGGGGGGGCAGCTGCCCCACAACCTTCTGGGGCACACTCTGAGCAGAATCCTTCAACTTAATGTCCACAGGGGGATCAAAACAATGTCAACTTTTCAAGACTAACCATATTGACAGAAGGGTAACAAGACCAGATTTTCAGCCATCAACCTCCAAAGTATTGCCTGCTGCTGCAGATTAATCACATTAGCTGCCATCAGAAGAGAGCAAAAGGGTTTCATACAAATGTCAGCATCCGATTGGTTCTTCATTTGTTTCACTAACTTCATCATCATCATCATCAGCAAACATGTTCTTGGTTAGGACAAGTAGGGGAGTCTAGCTTATTTTTCAAGTTAGTTGTTAGGATTAGGGGAGGAATTAATTAATTAATTAAGACTCATATCAGATGATTAATTAATCATTAATTCATGTAATTGCATGAGGTGGAAGCTAAAGATTGGGCTTTGGATTCCACCTCACAACACTAATTAGCAGTTGGATTATGTGCCTTGGATTGCATAGAGCATCCAATGACATATAAACCCTTTTTTGTTTATATCGGAGAAGATTAAAGCAATCGGGTTTCAAAAGATTTGTTTTATATCTTTGAAACACCAGTTTGGTCAAAGCTTCGGATAGCTTGATTGGCCATTTAACTCGTAATCTTTAATTTTTAATTTTTTGAATTTGGTCATTGTTCAAAGCTTCGGATACTTTTTTGGAATTGATGGATTAGTTGGAAGAAATAAAAGATTGTCTCTATGATTATTTTGTACTTTTTCTTTGGTATGATTCTTCTTTTGCACAATCAATCACTTTCGGGGCTTTCAAGAATGTGCTTGGAATCCTAGGAGCTCCCTCAGAAAAGGCGGAATGCATGGTTTTGCTAAAAAATGCTGGGAAGATCATATTTTTGGGAACCGAATCCAACTATGCTGTGCCCACTAATTAATGCATCCAGACCGTTGAAATTTGATCAAACTGCTACAATTATCATAACTTTTAGAGGGGTCCCCTGTTTCTAACCGTTGGATCAAATTTCAATAATCCGGATGTATTGATTAGTGGGCTCAGCATGGTTGGATTCGAAGGGGATCTAGTTCCATATTTTTAGATCATACTTCGTAGATCACATGATGTGACTATTCATGATTAGACTATTTCTTTGATGATTTAAAGAAGGAGTCCAACTACCAGCCGCCACATCATGTGATTCACAAAATATAGTTCAAGTAGATAGTCTCTATAACATCACTTTGGTTTTGCATACTCATTTAATTTGATTTGGTTTGGTTTTGAGATGCAAAATTGAACTACTTGGGAGGAAAGTGAAAAAAAGAGAGAAACAAGAGTAATGTTATAATCTTATAAGTCATTCAATGTGTGGATGGCCAACCCACTACAACTCTACATGTTTGTCCACTAATCCATTTGTTGCTTCATCCTTCCATATAAAATCACACACAAAAACACAAAGCCTTACGGTTGAAAAGAGAGAAAAGAAAGAAGGAAGAAGAGAGAAGCCACAAGGTTCACGGCAAAGAGAAAAAGAGAGGAGAGAATAGAGAGAGTTATCGTTGTAATTCTTTTGCTTCAGATTATAAATGAAAGCATCACTACTGTGCCGATGATGTACTCCAGTCACACTGACTGTAGAGGAACCTCTTAAATTTTTTGTCTTGTTTATTTATTTCACTGCACGCACCATTGATTTTACAACACGTTATCAACACAAAAAGTTATCATGTCAGTGAAAAGCACAACACTACAAATCATGTTCACCTCTGTCTCCTGGAATCTCACAGATAAGAAAATATTTTCATTTCATCTTAAAATCTTTGTACTACTGATTTTCCTGAAGCAAATATATATATATATATATATATATGTTGTTGTATGACTGTATATCATTCTTTGCAGAAGCAAAAAAGTACATACTCAAAATTCGTAGAGAATGTGACAGCCATGTAAACAGCCTTGGAACTTCAATTTACAGACCTCAGATTGAAATACTTTCTTCATCAAAGTTGTTTGTCCGCATCATACCTACAACATATCAAATTTTCAGAAAATTCCAACGGTGCGATCATCGCAGATGCTTGAAATACCAAACCAGTTTCCAATTTCTGCAGAAATTGGACAGACACCTTATGAGTACCAAAACTCCATTTCAGTAGCTCAGATAGAAATTATTTCTTCACGAAAGTTGTTCGGTATCATACTACAATTTGAGCTAAATATAACTGTTTGATCTTCTCATAAGTTGCAGACACTCTTGACTCCAAAACTTATGAGAACCGTTTCGATTTTTTCGAAATTCACGGGAGGAGGAACACCAATTGGAACTTATTGTTACTATTACTTCTTGAGTAACTAAAAGGACTTGGAGTTGTGAAATGAAAAAATAAAATAAAATAAAAAGAATGAAACAAAAGAAGTGGCAGACTAAGAAAAAGAAAAAGCAAAAGATAATAACTTAATCATTGCATTTTCTGTTTTGGCATATTTATGTGCATAGTATTGGTTTAAAGCCCTATCACAAGTTTTATTTATTTATAGTATGTAGAATTATTACCCTTTGCTTTCAAGCTTTGATATTTATGTAAATGGTGCTAAATCAAAGCCCTTGTCACAAGCTTTATTTACTTAAAAGCAATTTATTTACCATGGTTGGAATTGACGCTTATTGCTTTAATTTATTTATTGTACTTCCTTTTGTTACGATAAGTACATACTAGACCCTAAGTTCCTTGATCAGATTAGAACCTGAAGCTTCTTGATCCTCATCACATAAAATGATTGGACCTGAAGTTCCATCATGCAAAAAGATCAGGCATGAAGTCCCTAGATTCTCAAGATCGGACATGAAGTTCCTTGATGAGTACCTTAAGTTTGAAGAGCCGAAGTGCCACAACTTAATTGTAATAAAGGACATAAGAGTCTTAGTCCACAAACTATTCAATAAGGATCAGAAGTTCCTTGATGTATGTAAATGATGATATAATGCATATTTGTTGAAGAGTTTACATCTCAAAGTCTTCATGATTATTGCATATCACTGGGCATTGATGTTGAATACCATGTTCCTCATGTCTATACCCAAAAATAGTTTAGCAGAAGCATTTATTAAGCGGATGAAATTGATTACCCGTGCTCTGCTCATGAAAAAGAAATTGCAAGATTGGTACATACCATTTTGCATAATTCGTTATTAAGTTCGGTTGAGACCAGTTGCTAACCATCAATATTTCTCAGTACAACTTGTGTTTGGGCACCAACTAACCAAACATTACATATTTATGAGTTTTTGGTTGTGTTATCTATGTGCTTGTTGTACTGCCATAACGTACTAAAACAAGGCATCAATATAAAGTAGGAATTTATGTTGAATTTGATTCACCATTTATCATTCAATATTTGGAACCCTTGACTAGGGATATATTTACCGCATAATTTACAGACTATGATTTTGATAAGATAGTTTTCCCACCGTTAGGGGGAGAAAATAACATCATTCCAGAAGAACGATGAGAAAATATCATTCCAGAAGAATGATGAGAAAAGACCATTCCAGAAAAACGAAGAGAATTTGTCTTATTTTGATTCACGAAGCAATCAATGAGAAAATGAAGTAAGAATAATTGAATGATGCAACGAAAGTGATAAAATCAATATACTTGCTACAAATGTGCCTACAAGAATTGATGTCCCTGTTGGACAAAATAATGTGGTAGCAAATGATTTATCTGTTACATGCCTGAACCGTGGCAGACCTTTAGATTCAAAAGGTTCAGTCATTCGAAAGAAGAAGAATATGGTACTACTGAACTATTGCATTCCTGAAGCATAACTGTTGCATGCCGGAAGCATGACAATAGCCGTATGGATACACGTCCTAGAAGGGACAATTCTCGGATATGGGAATTTTGATGTCTCATGCATGAAGCATGATAGACGTATAGGTTCCAAGGACTCAACTCCTGGAAGTAGAGATTAAAATCCAAGCTCTATAACACTTCAGAGAAGATTAAGATCCACATTTTCTAAATTATGACTATCTTGAAAAAGATAGTGTAATGCCCTTGAAGAGGCAATGGATATCCAAAGAAATGAAAAACTTTTATGCATGTGCATGCACATGAGAATATGGGATCTCGTCTTGATGATAACCAATGATAATTTTGGTTTTTACAAGTAGCTACTAAATTCATCAATGAGTTGTGTTGATATTAAACTGCGTTCTTTTGTTCATTGACAAAAGAAAAAATTATTGGCCAAAAAAATGGAGAAAGGCAACTCCATATCAATTTACCAAGAACGAGGAAAATGGACCTATTGTACAAATCGCCAAATGATGTTAAACCTAGAAGGTTACATAGGGCATTTGTAATACAGTGAACTACACTCAAATGATATGACACAAGGTTCTTATTTGAAACCTGAAATTGCAATACATTCTTGGAAACATGGTTTCTCATTATGAAGCTTGTCCATTTAAATGAAAAATTATATATTACACGAAACTTTATGAGATACTTGAAGCGTATCTTCACAAGTAAATCCCTTAAGTATATATAGAAGCAAGTTGCTCTGTATAAATTTCAAAAGAGAATATGTCATGAAGTGTAGAAAATCCTTGAAGGATTTAAATTGCTTGAAGTAAGCCCGGGAAGGGTAAAGCATAAATTATGTACTCAATACCAATGAATGATATGAATTGCCTTAGTGAGTACTATCATTATGATATTGTTGTAACATACTAAAATCTCTTAATATTATTAAATTGGAACTCCTGAAAAGTCAGGAAAGATTATAAAGTGTTGAAAGAAATATGGTCTTGAGTTGCAGATCGAACAATATGCCAACACGAATCTTATCCATGATGTTTATGGTATTAAAGAACCATATATAGATTGAAGATCATGAGTTGAACATTCAAGTGGTTAATTAATATTTAGACACTAAGAAAAATCATTCATCCTCGTGAGGAAAAGATGAATAGATGTTTGGTACATAAGTACCACATCTTAATGAAGCTTATGCTTTATTGTATTTACACAATAAATTAAATGAAATGAAGCTTATTTATTAATATCTCCGATAAATTACAGACATGTACATACACATGAGTTAAAATGAACAAACAGGAGGGAACCTTCACAAAGGTTGCTCATGTGAAGCCTTAGTACTCGGAAGTACCTTAGAAAGGGAAGACACCAAAGGTTGATTATTTGGAGCCTCAATACTTGGTAAAACTCATGATGGCGAAGTCAATAGGTGCCTTTGGAATAAAGCCACGAACCTCTGATTATCACTTTGAGTCCGACTTTCGGTTCCAGTAATTGGTCGAGCTTTCTTTTCATGCTCGTCAAGTAATTATTTGCAAGCATGTGTAACATTCTATTCTCGTGCTTGAGCTTTCTAATTTCTTGCTTAAGACTTGCCACCTCAACCATCAATAATTCAACTTGGTGAGTTCGAGCAAATAGGCATTAGCCCATATTGGAAACGGAGCCAGCACACTGAACACTTAGAGCCAAGGAGTCTTGAACAGACAACTCATCAGACCGTTCTGAAAGGATTCTATTATCCTTTGGAGTGAAAAGATTCCTAGCTGCTACTGTAGCAGTTATGTTGTTCTTTATCACAGAGTCTCCAACTGTAAGAGGGTCATTAGAGCAGCTCCAGCGGGAGCAACTGCTCGAGGGACATGCTGCGGAACAGTGCCTGATTGCCAGAGGAAGGAAGTCCAGCGTTGGCTGGCGAGCGAGCCCGAGCAGGCCCGAGCTCCAGGCCGGTGGATTCCTGCCAGCCCGAGCGCCCGAGGGCTGTCTAACGTGGGCTGACGTCGTCGTCCTCTTCTTCGTCATCATCATCCTCTTCGCCCTCATCCGCGTCGTCGTCCTCGTCGGCGTCCTCCTCTTCTTCGTCTACGCTGTCATCGGATTTGGACTCGGACTCGGACTGCAACTTGTACAGCTCCAATTGCTCGGCGATCAAAGGCTTAACTTCTTTTTCCTCCACAACTTCCTCCATAGCCTTCATCCTCTCAAAGCTCACACAAATTTGCAGAGAAAATCTCCTCTTTGTATTCTTGAGAAAACGAATTGGGATTGGATTTGGGAAAGTGAATGAGACAGAGGGAGGGAGGGACGAGAGAGGAGCTGCTAATTGGGATTGGATTGCAAATAAAATTATTTTATAAATAAATAAAATACTAATATTTTATTACCAATTACCGGGGCTATTCAAGTGCAACGGTGGAGATACAAAAGGTGATTATTGTTTATTAATGGTAATTACTGTTTATGAGGTGGATTAAATAGTGAATAGCCAGGGGGAAGGGCTCCTGCACTGGAAGTGCTCTTAGAAGATAAGAAGGATGGGCGTCATATATTATCCTGACGCGACTCATCTGTATCCCTCCCGAGACTCAAATCTAAACAAAGGTTAAATGGGCAAAGCCATTTTCAGAAATGATGAAAGAAAAATGAGGTCAGATAAAATCTCAAAAGTGCAAGAAAGAGAAAATTCTATAGGTAACAGTTTTTCCGAGCGAACGTTTTGAACACAATTAATGCCTCTATAAAAGACAAAGCAACATGGCCACTTGTTCAAAAATCGAAGAGTCACTGCTCTCTGAATTTCAAAAGTCGGATTTTCTGGATGAAGTTTGTCATTACCTTTCACATGCAATCTCAGCTTTTTGGATATCACGTGCAACTTTATCAAAAATCTCTAACAAAGCTAAAAACGCGTGAATCGTACTGTTCTAATTACACCATAATTGCTGACAAAAGTAAATACACAGCACCACTACTTGCTATTGAGAGAACTCTATATATGTCGACATTCATCATCCATGGCAAGACAGACCTAGAAAAATGCCTAAATTCTTCCTCCTCTCTGAGAATGCATCTTTAACAAAGCATCACGAAATACTTAGCTTTCTTTCTATCCGAGAATACCTCTTCAAACAAGTCATACCATAGCAAAAGTATCTCATATCATCAGGGTTGAAAGCAAAAGTATCTCATATCATGCTTTTCTTTGTTGTTGCTCTTATCTGCAAAACAAAGATAAAAAAAAAAAAAAAAACCAATCAGTCGGAACTTGAAATCAAGCTTTTGATCTGGAACTGATTGTATGGAACCCTTCCCTGAGTGCTTACCTTGCATTGCTCTCTCTAAGTACTCATCTTCAACTGTTAATATGATGTTGGCTATTTACACTAAAGCTGCCAAGCATGATGAGTCACTGAGAAGAGATGTTTTGAAGGACCATTCAAATGCAAGGTTTGCATTCTGCTCCTGCATAAGGGGACAAATACTGCAAGAGAAAATGTCACACCTACATAAGGAAAAAACCACTTTTGTAAAGGGAACATATAAGGCAAGTGAAAATGATACATTAAAGCTCGTGGAGAATCAACAAGCACAATAAACACGTGCCGATTCATCCCCGACAAAGCCGAATATCACTTGTCACGTGAAGCTCCTTGTTGTCTAATTTCATTCAAGATCAAACCTCGACGGTCTTTGAAGGAATCGCAAGTCTGATTCAAGATCAAGTGTCCACCACCCTTGAATCAAATTAAGCTCCAAATAAAAGGAGTAAATTAAGACATTTGGAGGAAGTCTAGCAGAAGGCCCTCCAGCCCAGTTCAAGACCAAGCCTATGGAAAGTTAACAACGAGTAAAACACCTCTTTCAGCAACTCTCCCCGCTAAGAGACTAAAACAGAAGAATCAATGATTAACCTAAACAATTTGAAATCAAGGGGAGAAACTCATCAGGGGGATCATCCAAAATAGGTCAAGATTTTAACAAGTCAATGGAAGACTTGTGGCCATTCAAGGGGAAATGTTGTAATCTTATAAGCCATGCAATGTGTGGATGGCCAACTTATTACAACTCTACATGTTTGCCCATTAATCCATTTGTTGCCTTATCCTTCCATATAAAATCACACACAAAAACACAAAGCCTTACAGATGAAAGGAGAGAAAAGAAAAAAGGAAGAAGAAAGGAAGAAGAGAGAAGCCACAAGGCTCACGGCAGAGAAAAGAAAAAGAGATGAGAGAACAGAGTTATCTTTGTAATCTTATTACTTCAGATTATAAATGAAAGCATCATTGCTGCTCCGAGGATGTACTCGAGTCACATTGAATGTAGAGGAACCTCGTAAATTTTGTGTCTTGTTTATTTATTCCACTGCATACACCGTCGATTTTACAACAAGTAATGCTAAGTAGACCATTTTTTAAACCATATTTGCAAACCATATGATGCATCATTAATAAGTAATAAACATATTAATCAACACTTATATAATGATCAAATTATCAACAACCACATCATATAATTTACAAAATATAATTTAAATAAATAGCCTATCTAGCATTACCCGACAAACAATCACTATATCACTCAAAGTTTCAAACTATATGAAAAGATATTTAGGGATTCAAGTTGATTTGACATAAAAGATGTCTCTTGCTTACCTAAAATGACATCAACATGCTTCTACATTGAAGATGAAAATAACAATAAGTACTAGGGGAATTTTTTGAATTGCTACCTGAATTTTTACTCAAGTTGCAATGACAAAAGAAACTAAAGCAATGTATGCAACTTAACTTTAATGAGAGAAGATTTTTGTCAAGGAACTTGAATTCCTATCTTAATTGATAGTACTAAGATTTAGAGTGGTTGTCCCAAACTTGGCCACTTTCCCTCTCTCTTGCGTACATAAACCCCTACAAATACCCTGCTCTTCACCGCCGACTCCTTCTTTTGGCTGGGGTCGGCATGCTACCCACTTGATTTTCCCCCTTTCCTTTTACCCTCCAACCCGCTACCCCTTCCCTCAATTCCTCCTCCTTCCTCCCATCTTGCTTGCCCCTCTACCACTTATTTTTTTCCCAACCCCACTCATTTCCATCCATTCTCTTATGTTTCCTTCCTGTTTGCTTTCTCTTCCTTGATTATGGTAATCCTCCTTAATGTCTAGTTTCCTTGAGCTTGTCTAAGTGGCGACAATACTACGGGGAGGTTATCAACTATCAACATATCATCGATATTATTGATATTATCAAGACTTCGATTACCTAATTGTCTATATACTTGTTAAATAAAAAAAGGGTCTTTCAACATGGGTCCAATTTTATAAGGCTATTTTGAAAGGAATCCACTAGTATTACATCGTCCAAGGTGGGACCTAGCAAGTATAATATATCTCCACGTCTCCATAATTTTCAAACGAATTACAGCACTTGCCACTATGTAGTTTTTGAAATGAATTTGCCAGATTCTAATGATTTTGGGGGCGTTGAATGTATCTCGTCGATTCCAATGATTTTGAAAAAAAAATCTTCCTGATTCTTGCTTGTATAATTCAAATTCGAATTATGAGATGGATAAATATGATTCCTGCAAACAATCAATGTAGGCAGGAGTTTAGGTTTTGAAGGATATTCATACCTGGCGAACTGGTATGGTAATATGCACCTATTTTATCTTTTCATCCTTTGTTGTTCGTTGCTTTTGTTGTCTACCTATATGAGAGGAAGGAAACCATAATTTTCCTATTAGGGTGGAGGTATAGATTATATATGCACTTGATTTGAGACGTTTTTTTAGGTGAAATTGGGTTTATAATATTGATTCGAGCTAAAGATTTTTAAACCAAGATCAATAGAAGTTTGAGCCTTGAGTTTTTAAATATGCGTTAATTGAGTTGGGGATTTTGTAGAACAGGTAGCTTAATAGCACCTTTTGTTGGTTGTGTCTTAGTTGTTGTTGTTGTCTACCTATAGGGTGGAATGAAAGTAAATTACTTTGTGAATTGAATTTTTTGTATCTATTTACGTACCTGATTGGGTGGAAAGTTATTGTGTTTTTTCTTTGATCTGGGAATTGAGTTTTTTTAACTGATGTGTTGTTGTCTACCTACATGGGTGGAATGAAAACAGCAAATAAAAATGGAAAATTTTAGGCGCCTAGAAATTACAATTTGTTTTAGTAGTGCATTGGTGATTAAAAGCAATATTAGCCCTTTGTATCTCATTGATTATCAGAAAAGACAACATGAGCTTGAAGAACATAAAAAAAAAAGGATATCAGTAATCCACATTCAAAAATTATTATCAAGATATCCTACAGCAGAAGATGAACGAAACTGAAGAATGAATATTTTTTTTTTTATGGATAATTAAAGATGAATATATACAGAATTTGAATGATGATACAAATAAAGAACATGAAAAAAATAGGAGGGTAAAATAGTAATCACAACACAAACAAATCAACTTAATCAGAAAAAAATGCTGACATAGAGTCCTAGTCATTGAACCTAAATAGAAAATAACTAAAAATTAGACTAATCTTAATGTTAAGCTATAAAATTAGACCTGTTTCAAATTATCCAATAAAAATGTGAATAATGAGATATCATTGGACGGTCAAACAAGCCTGACTGGTGGGCAGTTGACCAAAAATTTCCCCCTTTTACTTCTAGATGAGCTCAAAATTTTAATTTTAACTATTAAAGCTTTTTCAGAAGAAATGTTTTTTCTAGGTCAGAGGACTTTTAATTCATCTACAAATGGAATCTCATTTTCTTCCTCAAAACTTGTGTGTCCAAAACTCCCTAGGAATTGGGCTTTGAGTCTTTGACCACCGAAAGAAATAAGAATTGGGCTTTTTGGGCCTTGAGCCCACTCTTGCGCTTCCATTAAAAAAAAAATATATCAGGCTAGTCCACTGTTGCGTACCTTTAAATGCCCTAGCTCGCTAGAAAATCAGAAACCCTGGACGAGAAAGTGTTGAGGTTTTGCAGCCGCGCAGCTCTCTACCACCCATCAGTCTCAGATCTCGTCTCCCTCAGGTAACTCTCTCTCCCTCTCTCTCTCTCTCTCTCTCTCTCTCACTCGAATTAGCATCGACTGTGAACTCCGATGGATTGCAGCGCATAGATTAGTAATTGTGGGCTTGGTTTTTGTTCGTTATAGCGAAAAACGATGGCGTTTTCAGAGCTTGCGTGCAGCTACGCCGCCCTCATCCTCCACGACGATGGCATCCCCATCACTGTATCCTTTTATTCATTTTTCTTTCACATATGGGTTTTCATTTATTTATTTATTTAATTGGTTGTTCTTTTTAGCTTTTTTTATGATTTGCTATTATTATTTATGTTGCAATTGATAAACTTTTTGTGTTCATTTTTTATATTATGAATTAAATTCTCATGGGTTTTATTTTATTTAATTCATTGTTTATTTCTGAGAGCACACGCAAGAAATTAAATTTTTTGTTCGTGTTATTTGATTTATTTTTGGTTTAAATTAGTGGGTTAAATGGTAGAACTTTGGAAATGTTGTTTTTGGAAGCTGTTTTTCTCCTTAATTGGTGTGTAATAGTCTGAGAAGATTGCAACATTGGTGAAAGCTGCTAATATCACTGTTGAGTCTTACTGGCCCGGCTTGTTCGCCAAGCTTGCCGAGAAGAAGAACATTGATGACCTCATCCTGAATGTTGGCGCTGGTGGCGGCGGTGCTGCTGTTGCCGTTGCTGCCCCAGGAGGCGGTGCTGCTGCCCCAGCTGCTGCCGCTCCTGCAGCGGAGGAGAAGAAGGTATTGGGTCACTTCTGTCATTTTTCATCGAACGAGTTGTTTTGAAATTGTTGTGGTCTTAAGTGTTGGGTTATCCAACTTGCTCATTTTGGTTTCCAACTTGATTTTACAGGAAGAACCCAAGGAAGAGAGCGATGACGATATGGGATTCAGCCTGTTCGATTAGGGGCTCCTTTCGGCAAGATGTAATCCAATCTTCAGGTTGATGGTTTTTAGTATTTTGAGATTAGTTGCCCTATCAAATCTATTACGGGTATCGTTCTTTTTGGCATATGATATGTAGTGGTAAATGGAGAAGTTGTTAACTCTCCTTGTTTTCTGCTGAGCAAATCCAAATTTTGAACATCTTAATGTTTTAATTTCTGGACAGAAAGGTACGTTACTCTTTTAATCTTGAAATTGAATTGTTTGCGATGGATTTATATTTCGTTTCATGTGCCCTACATGTTTTGAAACATGATACGAGCTCTCGTAGTTGATGGCATGACCCTCGTAAAAATGTTCTAGTCTCGTTTACAGAGATTGACGGAGGCAGTCGACGCTTGCATTGTGCTTGTGTTATCCTAACTGAACTTTTCGGTTATATTTTCTGCATTCAGTTCCCCCTCACATATGTCCTATGATACACAAATTGCCTAAATTTAGTCCGCATCGTGTTGCTTATTAAACATACTGCACACGTGATGGTCGGTTTGGGAGGCGAGGAGTGATAGGATTTTTACCACATGCAAATAGGGTTAAAATCATTGAAAATATTTGCAAGAATACAAAGTAATTGTAGTATAATTGCTCATGCAAGGTCATTGTCCACAAAGATTGTTTGAATAATTCATAATTAAATCAACTCTTAATTAACTATTGAAACAGATCCTTATCAAAGATTTGAGATTTTTGAGTTTGAAAATGTTGAATTAACAATTAAAGAACCTAGAAGTTAGAAAATAAAGGCAGCAATAGAAAAATGTTTTTTAATTAAAACAATTTAGGGAAAGACTAGGGTTAAGCCATCACCGTTACAATCCTATGCAATTCTATCAATTACTTATAAATTTCCACATCCATGCTTTGAAGGTTAGGTTTTCCTAACGCATATTTTCCTTGTGATGTTCAAGCGAAAACGTATATCTAACATGCAATCCGTCTGTGATGTTCAGATTAAATATAAACATGCAAGACTCATTAAACTTCGTGAAAACCCTTTGAAAAACCATGCAACCCTTAAGAGCGTGATGTTCGCCTTAAGTGAACTTACAATTACTAATCACAAGAAGCTCTCCTCAATTTCAGGGTGATGTTCCAACAGAAATTGCATCAAATAACTTGTCCAAATACCCTAATGGTGATCAATCATTAAAATATATAGATAGATTTAATCGCGGTGATTAATAATTCAAAGCAAACATGCATCCATTCATAAGCAAATTAATAAAATTGCATATTCATGCTACGGTTCATGGCCTAACCTTAGCAAAAGAATTAGTTACGCATACTCATAATAAAAATCAAAGAAAATATCATTCAAATGAGTCAAAGGAATGAAAACACCTTAAAGTAGAAAATATCCACGAACCCTAGCAATCACTCTGTCTCTCCCCCCAAAATCATCAAAAATTACCCCCACTATTTAAGAACGGCCAAGCAATATAATTGCTGAGCCCCCCTACAAACCCTAAAAAACATAGGTCTCTTATTCCAACTAGGGAAGTAAAATAATAAAATAAAATACTTAGAAAACAAAGTCCTAATTAAACTAGGAAAAACTGCAAGGGAACTGTCCAGCCACGTTTTAGCCTAAGAAATCCTTCAAATCCGGCCCATAATGGCTTGTTTTAAAGATCGGGACGTTCTGAACACATCTCCAGAAGGCCACGAACACATCCGAGGTCATCTTGGACTTCAAAAATACAATTCAAGCCCAAAACGTCACTATTCCAGTACTGCGCACTGCTCATTTATTTTATCGCCAGAAAATAACCGCTTGGTAGAAAATTCTGATATTTTGATACGATCAAGCCAAGTAACTCATGAACATCCTCCAACTAGAATTATTCCAAAATTCGTCCATTTAATTATGTTTTTCTCCAGAGGAAGTCGAAAGTCCTAAATTAGAAAAACAATTCAAAGTATCAAAATTCTTTCAAAATATACCAAGAATAGGGTTAAATATATACTATAAAATCCGCTCATCAAGGAGCAGATATCTCTTGTGTTACTACACAAAACCGATCAACTCCGTGGTTAACTCTTGTTTCTCAAGGCGTCACGACATTTTCCTTTGTAAGCGGTGCAATTTCCCTCGATCCCAGGTTGGCCACCAGCGACACCCAAACTCAGCAGCACTTGCTCCCACTTCTTGGCAGGACCCTGGACGGTGCCGATTCAAAGGATTTAATAATGTAAGAATGCGATTAATTGTAAAAGGATTGTGCGTGGGGATGTCTTTACCTTCCACGATAGATCTTGAGCCATGCAGTTGATTATAATCTCAGTAAAAGCTGGAGTTCCAATAGCTTCGAGGGCTCTTGTGATGGTTGTAGCAATTGCTTGTGCATCCGCTGGATCAACAGCTTCGCACTGAAACATCAGTTTTCGAAACTGAGTTAACACGAAGGTATAAAAGTATTTTGTGTATAAAGAATGGTAGAAAAAGATGCATTACTTCCACATTGAAGGCTCCCATATGAAATCCGGTGAATCCTTCTTTAACGGTGTCTACCAACCCGCCGGTTGATGCAACAATGGGCACCTGCAGAAGCATAGCAGTGAATCGGTACTCATGCAAGATGTACCTTCGAATGGAAGAACTTGTTTGGGTCAAGGATCTTACGGTTCCATAACGCATGGCGTGCAACTGAATGAGACCGCATGGCTCGAATCTGCTCGGAACCAACATGAAATCAGCTCCTGCTGTGATCATATGGGCCAGAGGGACACTGAATTTTGCTACCCCTCGGGCTTTGTCGGGGTATTCCATCTCCAGCTGTTCAAGCTGCTTCTCCATTGGCTTTTTGCCAGTCCCCTGGGAAAATTGCAAAGGCAGATCACGTTAATATACAGGTAGGTTTGGTGGCAGGACGAGGAACAACTTCCGTGTCGGGTACGTACAAGGACTATAATCTGAACATCCTCTTTGATAAAATGGGGAATGGCTTCCATGAGAATGTCTGAACCTTTCTGCTCTTCAAGCCTACCAATGAAACCTATGACAGGGATGTCTCTATCCACCGGCAATCCGCCTTCTGCTTGGAGGGTTTCTTTCAGAAGAGGCTTTGCATCAGCCACCTAAGCAAGCCAAAGTTTCAAGAGTTATTGCCATACGAATCAAAAGAAGTTGCACGAATTACGGTTAAGGAAGTTTTTGTACAACGAGCATTCTTACAGTTGAAGCGTCGTATTTGATAATTGTATACTTGTCAGTTAAGGGATTCCATTCCTGGACGTCCATACCATTCACAATTCCAAAAATTCCAGTTTTCCGAATAATGTTATCCAATTCGACTCCTTTTTCAACCGCAGAAACAAGTTCTTCGGCATAGTATGGGCTAACGGTCAAGAGCTTGTCTGATTCCAAAATTCCGGCTTTCATCCAGTTAATTTTCCTCCCCTTCACCGGCTTCTCAGAGCTGTGGAATCAGAACAATCACACTCAAGTTTCAATCACATAATCATTATACAGTCTGCTATATCATGTGCAAAAAACCATACCTATCACTGAAATCGAACGAGCTCTTAAATTCATCTGGCAGATTGAGAAGTGCAAAGTCCGCAAACGCAAATCTGCCTTGGTAAGCAATGTTGTGAATGCAAAAGGCTACTTTGGCAGTGCTGTAAATACCTCTAGGTTTGTATACGGCCTTCAGGTAGCACGGGAGCAGGGCGGTGTGCCAATCGTTGGCAATGAAAACAACTTCTTCCCCTGCACGCAGCAACGCCATCGTACCAATTCATGCATAAAAGATTTTCAAAAGTGGTGTTGGTTTGGAGAACTGGAGATGAGTTTTGCCTACCATATGGTCCAGAAAAGTGTTTGCTGTTGTTTAAATTCAGAACTCTTGGTGCTTCTAGAGCTGCCTTAAAACATTTAATTTTATACAACCATGAGAATATGAACGATAATATTATACAATCAGAAGATGCACAGATTAAAATTCAGACTAAACATTTGCTAACAGATTTGTAAGAAAACACGGATTTGAATGGAAAATGTGACGAGGATCAGAAGAGCAGAGATTACTAACCTGGCATAGCAGGCTGAACCTGAGTTGATTGTCCTCGAAATCGACTCCAGCAACCGGACCATAAACTTTCGATGCAGTTTTCCCCCATACCTTAACAACCAGTCGCAAAAAGCAGATAAGAATTTGAGTTTTCTTCCTTTTCATACTATTTGTAAAACACTGGAAAAGATCAGTAAGTAGAGACAAGACCAAACCCTTTCGAGAAACAGCGGGTGATCCACGAAAACACGATCAACTCCTCGTTTGTAGCAGTGAAAAAATCGAACTTTTTCGGTTTTATCTCCCACTTTAAGCTACACAGATAGGAACAGGATAGGAATAAATCATTTGAACATTGTCCTATTTCAGTGTTGATCAAGGTTATATGTTTACACACCTCAACTGTTACTTCTGTATCCCATGCATCTTTGTACTGATCATAACGCGGAGAAATCGTCATCACTCGATGCCCATTTGCCTGAAGAAAGTTCAAATTTTAGTGAAATTTACGCATACATAACCGGTTACAAACATTTAATCAAAAACAGACCTCGAGGGACACTACACTGAATAAATGGGAACTAAACCATGGTTTGTATACGGCTTCATGTTTGTTTAATGTCGCTTGGTTCTCATTGTGCATATTATTACAAGGCAAGAGAAGTAAGCAAAGCCTACAGCCATAGCCGGTGGGAGGCCTCCAAGAACATCACCAAGTCCACCAGTTTTACTCCATGGACCAACCTCAGTTCCCAGAAACACTAAATTCATCCCACGTCCACAAACAATGACTCCTGAACTCTTCCTAGTGCTGTTGACGGATTTGCCCCTCGTTTGCCTTGCAACTGAGTTGGCCATGGTTCTGACTTGGAGCTCGTCCACTGAGTTCAAAGCTCTCAACCCATTGTGAGTCAGGGTCTGTTTACCAGAAACCATTTTCTTAAATCCGGTTTTCAGGTTTGATCCGGAAGATACAGTGCCATAGCTGACATGGGGGCTCGTGGCGGCAAAGCTTGAAGCGGTGAAAGTTGCCATAAACTTGTAATTCTATTACGTTCTGCAAAACAGTAAAACATAAAAGATTAACTAGAGTCGACGACGGCTAGAAGTGCTTTTTGACAATTAAAAGTATGTTTCTACTTATGTTTGGCAGTAAACCTTTGTGCTTTTTGACAATTAAAGTGCTTCAACCCTGTGTTTGACAGTAAAACGACTTAAAAGTGCTTCTGAGTCGTAGAAGAACCTGCGGGGAAGGAACAAGTGCTTCCTACAAAAGCAGTTGAACTCCTCACAGCAACCTGCAGTTGGATGCTTGTTTCTTCTTGTGCGATGAAAATGCTGAGGGGGATGCAGTGCAAAATGTGGTGGTTTTAAGCAGTGAAGCTGCAGGAGGGTGAAACTGTAACTTGGAGTTTGCAGAAGGCGACTAAAACATGCACAGGTGGAGGGGTTTTCAGTGCCGAGTACCTCAAGATTCATTAGCGGTGTGTAATAGGCGGCAGAATTATATGCCCAAAGAATTCCTCGTGTGCAAGAAAAATTGCTCTCAAGTTACCTTGGAGTCTTTTGGACTAGAATCAAACAAGAGGAGAAACATAACACGACACACTTGTATAATATCTTACATGTTCATGAAATATAACGTGAATGTCATACATATGATTGTATAAGGAAGCAAACTAAAATAAACTTTGGTGATAGGAGTTGAAAATTTTAGGTGAAATAGTTTTAGGGTGGTTAAAATTTTTCTTCATGCGTGTAAGGTGTTGTCGGATCAAAACTCTATATAAAAGGTATATTTGTATCCTCATTACAACATAGAAGATCAAAAGTAATAATACTAATATCTCTCACCTCTCTTTACATAAATTCATTATCTGATACATTACCTGATACATTGTTTGATACAGTTACAAAAATAAATAATGTGATACGTCGTCCTACTTGGATTTTTTGGTAAAGGTTCTCTTTCACACTTTGGCCAATTTATAACATCACCTGTTATAAATAAACAAAGGTTTTTCACAGACAGACGACATGGCGTTGTTCTCTCCTTCCCAATTTCATTAAAAGAAACGACATGACATTGGAAAAAAAAAAACAAAAAGATGACCAAGACGACATCGGAGTAGCAGCACCAGAATGACCAAGAGCTCACTCACTTCGAACCGCAACTCGCCATGGAACTCGACCTTGACTCGTTCCTCAACTCACACGTCTCCCTCTCCGACGACGACGACGACGACGACCACCTTAGCTCCGTCCCCCACCGCACGATCGACGAAATCCTCAACGACACCGATTCGTCCGCCTCAGCTTCCCCGCCCTCCTCCACTATCCACCGCCTCAATTCCGACACCAAACCACCGGAACCGCCAAAATACGCCGTATTAGTCCCCGTTGTTAAACCCGAGGATGAAAGGGCGGTCCGAACGAGGCCCTATTTGTACAGTCCGGTCAAGTCCGGGGATTTAGCGGACGATCCGGCCGGGAGGGTTTCCAAGCCGTCTCCATGGTTTCTCGGAGGCATGAGAACAAATGCGAAGCCCGGGGCGGCCCTGGCTGCGGCTGCGGCGGCCTCGAGGTTGATGCCGACTCCGCACGCTACCTCGATCAAGTCGAGGAGGAGCGCCGGGAGTGGAGTTATCCAGAAGGTTCTTGAAAGTTCGGAACCGGATGACAACTCCGAGGTGAGTTCTAATTCTAATGGTGATACGAATGCAATTCGTTCGGAAGTGATTAGGACCAATTCGAAGGAATTACAAGTGGATTTTGGCGGTGAATTGTTGAGAAATGGCGGGGTATTGAAGAGCGAAAACGAGTTGAAGCAGGCTTCTCAAGTTGATGAAACGAGTGCTGGGAATGCTGTGGAAGAAGAGAAGAATGTAAGTAGTTCTTATGAGAATTTGACAAATTTAGATGCAAATGATGTTAAAGATACGGAATTTAGTAAGAATGTTGAGGTGGTAGAGGAATGTAAACAAGAAATTCAAGACTTGGATGATAATAGTCCTTGTTCGAAAGAGAGTGATACCGAGGATTATGAAGGCTGCGGTGATGGCAAGGATTATGAAGGCTGCGGTGAACGACATTAACAGTATATTGCATGCCTGTATTGGGCTGTGCCAAAGGAACACCCATCGCTTAAATCCTGATGAATCAGAGGCACTCTGGTTTAGATTACTTGACTCGTAAGTCCAAAACCAATTTTTCAATTTTTCTTATCTAGTTTTACACGAGCACGATTATCTGGCTATTATACAGTCCTAGGTTTCAGCGTTTTTTCTTTCCTTGATTGACATGATTATATGAAAAGCTAAAATATGCATGATATATGATGGAGTTATTCTTGTTCAATTATCCCTTAAACGAGATGCCATGCTCTTTATGATTTGTTTAGGACGATCAATGAAGAAATTTTGTATTCTAAAAAAGTACAAGTTCATGGATTGTTGAAGACTAATCAACGCTGAAATTTGGAACAGTATCTAAAGGAGATGTTAAAACGATGGTAGCCGAGTCATTGGACTCGGAAGAGGATGAGATGGCTTTTATAATCAAGTGGAGAATCTCAAATCTCCATAAAGGTTTCCATATCTTGAGAAAACTGTTCTCTCAGTTCATCAAGGAGATTGTTGAGGGCATGACAGGATGTGTTCGTCTTCCAACTATCATGTCCAAACTCCGTTCTGATAATGGCAGCCAGGAGTTTGGTGATTTTAAATTCACAATATTGGGGATGCTTAGCACGTATGGCTTCGAAAGAAGAATTCTGGTATACCACCTCTTTTATCTCTTTTGCAATCGAAGCGGCTCGTGTGACCAACAAGTTTGCTACTTGAGTTTTAAAGCTTAGAACACAAAAAATTAGTAACTTACAAACGCAAAAGAAAGGTTACAAATCAACTTGTTGAAAATTAATCCAAACAAAGTTCACAACTTCCTGACTCGCGAAATGGGGGGCGGTGTAAATGCAAATTCAACAAGACAGAAAAGGATTCACGTAAAACTCTAGGGTCGCAGTAGTAGCCCGCTGTCACTCATCATCGTCTGAGCTTCCATCTTCAGTACTATAATCGCTATCATCGTCTGGATCCAGAATATCCAGCTCAACATGCTGCACCTGTATTGTCGCTGGTGGTTTATGTACTCCTGGATGAGCATTAGGTCGTATTTGTTGCTCCTCGGCCCTTGGAACTGGAAGAGATTCAAATGGGGGAAGAGGCACTGGGTCCCCTGGCTTCCATCCAGGTGGGGGCACAGGAAATTCGGTTGGCAATTCCACAGGCATCCCTGGTTTCCAACCCGACGGGACTGTGATGTTGGGAGGAAGCAAACCTTGTAGTGCACCCAGGTTGGGAAGTTGATTAGATTCTGTTTGTTCAGAAGGCGGGGGCTCCAATATTGCCTGCATCGTTTCCTCCTTCCCCTCGACTGTTTTAGGTAGGCCCACATCAAGGTTTGCAAAAGCATACAGCTGAGAAGCACGCATTTGCTCGTCCTGTGGAGCAGGTGGGAGTGCCCCACGAAGAGGAGCTTGTCCCGCCCCAAATTCTGGTGGTGCAAAGGTTGTGTAGCTTATCCGGTGGGCATACGACAGTATATCTGACAAATTCAACTGAGATGAAACCGTAGTGGTGGTGCATGAAGAATCATCATCTGCACCGTCCTCCTGTTTTGTCCGTTTGGGGCGTGTAAAATCAGAGTAATCATCAACAAGATTATCAAGAACCTGCTCAACATCCCTGAGTTTCTTGGAAAAGGAAAGAAGCGCAGCATCCTTGGCCTTCACTTCACGTGCAATTTTCAGCTTGGCGTCCTGAAGATCAAGAATTTCTTGGAGTTCAGCAACAGCCTCAAAGAGTTGGGTTTGAAGGGCAGTGAACTGGGAGAGGATCTCTTTGGTGGAGGAAGGAGAAGATTCAAGTGCAGTTGAGGGAAGTGACTGAGTTTGGGAAGAAAGAAAAGTCGGGAAGGTCCCCCGAAATGCATTGAGCCAAAGTGACCGATTGGGAGAGACTTCAAAGAGTTTGGAGGCAAGGGAGGCCATTTGGACAAGAATGGATTGAGCCCTAGGGAGCGGTGGAAGGAGAGAGATAAGGGTTGGGGAGAGATTGGGTTGCTGCTGTGAAGGGACTTTTGGAGGCGTAGGGTTCTGAAGAGAGGGCGATGTGGGGTTTGTTAGGCCTAGCCTAGCGGGGGATTGAACAATTTGGGATTGCAGCATTTTGTGATTCACTCGATTCTTCAAACATCCTACCAACAAGAAATTGAAGAAATTAAATACTTGATGATAAAAAAAATAAATAAAAAAAAAAAAACAGCAATACCATATAAGCAAAACAGGAAAAGCTCGTAGCAGAAACTGAAACTAATTAAAAGAAAAAATGACTCTTACCAACAGATTCAGAAACAAGAATAGCGAGCTAGCGACTAAGGCGTTAAGGAGCCCCAATGTTGGATTGCTACAGAGCTTCCCCTTCCCCTTGTTTTCAGCTCTTCATAAGCTGCAAAATCCAAGAGTTCAAATTCTTCAAAAATGGACCATTTACAAGGGGTAGATACGCTTTCTAGGCTTCGACCGAATAATCTTTCGGGATATTTCCCAATTCAAGCGCTCAGCTTAAGAATTACTGCTCCAATATATTTGGGGTTGGTAATATTGTTCTCAATGTCATTGTGTACACATAATATCAATTCTGGACGAAAAAAAAAATAATAATAATAATAACAACGAGGCATGGAAGAAGCAGAAAGTTACGACAAAAATCTGAACCTAAAACCAAAATTTCCTCCGTAACAATGTTGAATTGAATGCATTGCTTAACCTGCTAATCTAAAATTAACCCCAAAGAAAACTGGAACAATTAAAGGATGCCACAATCATATCAAATTATAAATTTGGGAAAATTTTCTTGATAAACCCTAAAACCCAAAATTATAGAAATCCCAATTCAGACAAAATCAAAGCTAACCTACGACTTTCATCATAAGTCAAACACAATAATAATTCGGAGAAAGATCAACAGCTCAATCGGCTAACGATGAAGAACCACTGAATGAGAGAGAGAGAGAGAGAGAGAGAGAGAGAGAGAGACTGACCTTCGCCCGGTTTAGTGACAGAGCGAATGAAATCGGAAGTGGAGCGAATGCTACAACGACGAGAAGAAGAGGACCCATATGGAATTGCGGGTGGGCCGAATCGGATATGGGCTTGGAGCGGATTTGGAGGGCCTAGATTTATATTGACGTAAAAAATAAGATAAAAAAAGGTAAAAAGAAGGGCCCAACCGGGTTCGAACCGGTGACCTCTTGATCTGCAGTCAAATGCTCTACCACTGAGCTATGGACCCGTTTCTGCTTATGTCCTCACGTTTTGAATATACCACAACAACAAAGTCTTATTCTGCTTGCTAAGAACGATTAAAATTCTAAAACGTCATTCCATTCGGTTGTAAATAATTTATAACTAACCAAAATTTCGAAATTAGAAAAAGGATTTTGGTTTTGCAGTTCTCATCCAATAACACGTTGGAACTCATCCTTGTCCACATGGTCACTAGATTTGGATCACGACAAAATAATGCAACATACACGGACAAAAGCTGTCTTCTACTATATTCTTTTGTATTTTGTATTTTTGGTTTCAATATAACGTATGAATGAAGAGAGTCTCCCTATAGCATTCTTCAACAAACAAAATTGCTAACAAAATATGATTTATTGTTTGTTAAAGTCAATAGTGATGAAAGTTAGAAATTCTATCTTAGATTTTGTTTGAAAGTGCTTTTAAAATAACTGAAACTACTTCTAAACGAGCCGGTACTTATTGAGATTAATTAAGTCAAACTCAAATTTATTATCTCACTATCACACGGATTGACAAAAATCAATGCGAATGGTGGTCATTCCACATATTGCGGTGAAGAAACATTTGGTTTTTTTTTTTTTTTTTTGGGTAAGAATCAAAGCAATAGCAACAATTCATTAACAGACAAAACGTAATTACAAAAATTACAAAGAGGAGTACGAACATGATTACAACGGGGTTTATTACATTGCTTGTTTTGCGTTTACTCTCTATATCAAAGAATTTGTCATTTAGGTTATGCTCGAAATCAGAGACCTATATATCTTGCAATTGTTATTAGTAAACCCATGAATAAAAATGATACACATTAATAACAACTTTATTCATTATAAGTAAACATGCCCAAAATTTATGCAAATATATTCGTAGAAATTTTGAAAGCAATAAAGTTGTGGAAGTGGGAAGATTTCTAACCCTATTTTGTTGTATGATATAATTTAACCGTTCGATGAGAGTTTGAGCATATTGTCATTAGCCTAAAAGAAGCTCGAGCATTGCTTGATGAGCTTCTAGAGAAGTGGAGCATCGCTCGAGGGGCCTCTAGAGAAGTCAAGCATTGCTCGAGAGACTCAAAAAGCTTAATGTAGTATTCAACTTATTATAAATATATGTCGTCCACCCATTTAAGTTGAACATAAAACCTCTCCCAACCTAATCAAGCGCAAACTAACTAGCTATGTGTGTTGGATCAAAATGATACAGATATAATGGTTAATGAAAGATGGTGTTATCACCCATTTTCATTTTTCACGCACATCTCTTAATATTCACTTTTTTCATATCTCTTGATATTTATCCATTAGATTAAATGATTCGAAAAAAATTAATTGACATAAATTATCAACGGAGTAGGTAGAACGAGAAGCCAAATGTCACGAGAAAATAGACATGGAGGACAAGAAGTCCTATCGGAGATTACGAGGCAAAAGGGCCTCAAAACTCCCAAAAATTATGAAAGCTTTGTATTAAAACAAGCAATTGAAGAACTCCCAAGTGGTTGGTTGAGTTGTTGGCTTAGCTTTCCCATTTCGGTTATTTCCAAGCCTCCTCCCTTTGTTTTCTCCGCCCCTTCTTCTCCTCTTATACTCTCTCCCTCAATCCCCCATCATTCCATCCTCCCCCCTCCTTACTTTCTCTCTCCTCAAATTTTCTCACTTGCCAGACAGACGGAAGCAGTGAAAGCAGGGGGCAGCGATGTCCTTCTCGTCCGCCACCAACTTGGCCCAGCCTCTCCAGCTCAATACCACCGCCAGCACCCCCAGATCCAATGACAAGCCCTCCCTGCTGCTCCCCACCAAGGGATCCTCTTTTCTCGGATCTACCCGCAAGCTCCGACCCGCTTCCCTCTCCCACTCCAATGCCCACCGCCGATCCGCCGTCGTTGCCGTCTCCGAAGCTGTCAAGGAGAAGAAGGTCCAGGCTTCTTCCAATCTGGTAATGCTTTTGTCCAGAAATTTCGTTGCTTGATTGGGTTTTCTGGGTTTGTTTTGTTTTTCTCATGCATGGTAATCCAGTGGAAGGATTAGAGATTTGGGTTTTCAATTGTGTTAATCTTGGGTTTGTCAGTACTGGGTGGCTGAGTTTTACGATCAAATTTACTTAAATCAATTGTAATTTAAGTTGTTTGATCCAAAAATTGAAAACCCAGAACAGATAAATCCAAAGCTTCCAACTTTCAATTTTGTTTATGGGTGGATTTGAATCAATTGATTCAATTTGATTTGTCTCGTATGTTTAAGTTCATGCAACGTCATCGTATCAGTGCAATTAAGTTTAAAAAAGATGTAGAAGTCCGCATCTGAGCTTTGTTTTTCGAGTTTTCTAATGAAATGGATACCGTCTAAGACTTTATGGTTTTTCTATCTTGGTGTATTTAGCTGATTACGAAAGAGGAAGGTTTGGAGCTGTATGAAGACATGGTATTGGGTAGATCTTTCGAGGACATGTGTGCTCAGATGTATTACAGAGGCAAAATGTTCGGGTTCGTTCACCTTTACAATGGCCAAGAAGCTGTCTCAACTGGGTTTATTAAGCTTACCAAGAAGGAGGATTCTGTGGTGAGCACATACCGTGATCACGTACACTCTTTGAGTAAGGGTGTCCCTGCTCGTGAGGTGATGAGTGAGCTCTTTGGAAAGGCTACTGGTTGCTGCCGAGGCCAGGGTGGTTCTATGCACATGTTTTCGAAAGAGTATAATGTGCTCGGTGGGTTTGCATTTATTGGTGAAGGGATCCCAGTGGCAACAGGTGCAGCATTCTCCTCTAAGTACCGGAGGGAAGTGATGAAACAGGCAGACTGTGATCATGTAACATTGGCATTTTTCGGAGATGGAACTGCTAATAATGGCCAGTTCTTTGAGTGTTTGAACATGGCAGCATTGTGGAAATTGCCAATTATTTTTGTTGTGGAGAACAATTTGTGGGCTATTGGTATGTCACATTTGAGGGCTACTTCTGATCCCGAAATTTGGAAGAAGGGGCCTGCATTCGGTATGCCGGGTGTTCATGTGGATGGGATGGATGTGTTGAAGGTGAGGGAGGTGGCAAAGGAGGCTATTGGAAGGGCCAGGAGAGGAGAAGGGCCAACTTTGGTGGAATGTGAAACATATAGATTCAGAGGACACTCATTGGCTGATCCCGATGAGCTTCGTGACCCTGGTGAGTATTTGAATTATGTCTTTCTTCTTGCACATTTTAGGAGCTAAAATCCATCCCAAACTATCATTGTTTGGTTCCACGAGTTTATTGTCATTAACCATTATGTTCTGTTCCATTTTGGCAGCTGAGAAGGCACACTACGCTGCCAGAGACCCCATCGCAGCCCTCAAGAAATATATACTTGAGAACAATTTGGCGACTGAACAAGACTTGAAGGCCATCCATAAGAAGATCGACGAGGTGGTTGAGGATGCCGTTGAGTTTGCAGATGAGAGTCCTCTTCCACCTCGCAGCCAGCTGCTCGAGAATGTGTTTGCCGATCCCAAGGGCTTTGGAATCGGGCCTGATGGCAGCTACAGATGCGAGGATCCTAAGTTCACTCAGGGCACAGCTCACGTCTAAATCTCGGCTGGTTGGAGCTGTTTCTAGGTATGCCTGCGTGGCGTTAAATTTTTAGTTACTGCTAGCAGCTACTTGTCACTTGTTATCAGCTTTTATCTACTGTAAAAGCAGGACATATGTATGTTTATCTTTTCAATTTAGTTCATGTTCTTTTAGAAAAATTTCGATTGTTTCTGTTTCTGTATGGCAAGCAAAACCCTGTAGTGATGTTGGTTCTCTGTTTCCAATTTTATTACATCTACACATATTTGCAAAATTTTGCATTGGTTGGATCCGACTCGTTTCGTGGCTCAACTCTCGACGTATTCCGCGTCTTAACAAGTTAGCCGGAGCTCGTGCATTGTTTACACCAAAATACGGAGCTTTGCATGTAGAAATCAAAACCATATGGAACCGGATGGTTTATTTTTTCAGTAAACGGAGTTGTTTTCTTAAATCAGCAATTATCGTTCATGAGATTTGAATTCAGAAACTCTTTTTAAGACTGATGTACCGCTGCAAACCAAACAAATGAATGAACGGTAAGGGCGGCCAGGGTTCAGGGTGGCTGGTTGCCGGCGACAATATAATTTAGGCCAGAGAAGCGAAAACGCATACTCATTGTTTCAATATAAAAGGTACGTGTTCAAGGTAAAAGAGTAAATGGTACGAAAATTCTGGTACAAAAACTGTAAGAAGTGGCAATAAGAAGAATGAAGATATGATATTTATGAAGAAACAAAAGAATGCGAAGGGTAAGTGTCGATTCGGATGGGGATTACAACTTAAGAGCGGAAATTGCTTCGGGTTTAAAATCAACTCTCAGGCCGAGGACTCGCCTGACCTCGGCTGGGGTCAGTCTCCACGTCATAGGTCCCGAGTTCTCGCCCCAGAAATCAAGAATCTCCGAGACCTTTTCCAAGTTGAGGATCGTCGCCATTTGTGTGAGACGCGCAAATTTGTCTCTGACGGTCCTTTGAGTCATACTAGAGAAGTGGCTTACCAATGCCCTAGCATCTCTGTCGAGCTGAAGGCCTCCGAGTTGACTAAATCGCTTCTGCATCATAATCACTTCAAGCCTCTTCACAATGAAGTCGATTACAAAATGAACGAATGAGTCGTAGTTGTTGGCAGTCATTAGCGGCTGGAGCCATGCTACATTCGTCTCAACAGCATGAAGAAGCCTTTGGACCCAAGGGTCATTGACCTCATTATCTGCATATTCAGCCTCTGACAGCTCGTAGCTGATGGTTGCCACATTATCTAGCACTGGACGGATACGGGGTGTCACGGTTGCCACAAGTTGTTCCAAGCCAGCATTCAAAGCTTGCTTGAATGTGTTGCTCATATCCCCTAGCTCAGACAGACAAGACTTGACTTTTTCTCTATCAACCGGTGCAGGAAATACCTGATAAACATGATATCACACTTCACTTTTTCTCTACCAAACGAAAGATGTCAACAGATGATAACATCAGACATGAATTTAAGACAGCGAGAAGAACATAAAAGACGCCAAAAGATTACTAGTGCGATTTTGTGAGTGTACATGACGGATATCAAAATGATCTACATTTCAATAATTAAGAGTTCCACTACAGCCAAGAAGGTGGGCACAAGCAAGTAGCAAATGGGGGATTTGAGAAATGCACAATTGTCTTAGTGAGTTACGGTGCTCTCTTGACTCTTCATCTCAATGCACACAAATTTCAGTAAAAAAATGGAAAAATTAACCATAAACTGAAACATCTAAAGGCTTAAGGAGATAAAGGCAACATCAACATGAACAAATCATACACCATATATAAATAAACCAACACCAACAAGCCTGTATTCTTTTGTCCTTATCAACTTACCAGACAACAAATAAGAAATCTTTAACTATGAATATTTCATGTAACCAAAGCCTACAATAGCAGCAGTGATCAATAATGCACAGTCAGTGGGCAGCCACATATTGTTCTTTCACGATTAACACAGTACCATCAAACTCCATTTCTTGTATTAGCAGGAAATTCTGTGGAGTGCTAGAGTATGTGGCGTTTTATTCTGTTCCCAAACATTAACAAGGCCATCAGAAACTCCAACTACAGGCAATTGGACACATCAAATGCCGGTCTGACTAAACCTAAGTATGCATAATTACAGTGATTTGGGACTTCTAACCTAATACAAAGCGAAATACAAGCCAAAGACTTGCCCAAACAATGTAGTTATTATTCATGTCAGAAATCCTGATAAACTAAAGCACAGAGTAAAGCAAATCATTTCAATTACCTCTAAGCATTGCTCCTCAATCTCGTGCTTCAGTTTGAGGACGTATTCGCTACTGACATCCATATTATTCAAAACCGTGGCAATCTCCGTCCCAGTCTTTTGCACGCCAACACCACCTAGGAACAGCTTTGCGCCAAGATTTGGCTCTCTCATCCTCTGTTGCAAGGCCTCGTGATACTCATTGCTCAACAAGCTACTCGCACCACTCAACACAGCAATCACAGAGCTGATATTCAAAGTGGATATCGCCCTCCGCAAACAACTCTGCAAAACATAGAAAACATCATCCACCATTGAAGTCGTGAGACTATCCGGCACATGCTCATCAATCCTTATAGCCTTCCTCACATTCTCCACCATAAAGAAACCTTCCAATATGACATAAAACCCAGTAATGTCCTGAACCACCTTGCTAAAACTTCCACTCCTAAAAGCCCTAGTGGCTCGTGGACCTAAATCCGGGTCGACATTAGTCAAGCCCTTGATCTTAGATACCATGAACTCAGTGTAATCCTCACCCAATTGCATCAAAGACAGTATCTCCTCCAAGAACAGCTCAACCTCTCTCGGGTCGGGTCCCTCGGACCCAACACCAACGCCACCCACATTGATGTTCTGGGCATTGATCTCGGAGCTCAACTTCGGCAATCTCCTATACTCCATGTACTTCTTCAAGATCAAACTACCCCTGGTATCACATTCCTCTTGAAGCTCACAAATGGTGTAAACAACTCCGTCTTCCCCACAAAGCCCTCTCAAAATCTCATCGTTCTCTTCCACCGCCAAAACAATGTCCTTGAACAAATTGGTCAAACACCCGACAAAATTGATTGCCTGGGTCGGATTGTTCTGCTCCATTAGCTCCACCAAGTGCTCGAATTCGAGCCGGGATCGCATCCCAATCACCTTCCGCAAGTACCCAACGTAAACCTGCAACCCCTCCGTTTCCAACCCTAATGGAGTGTAAAGCCTGATGAATCTCAACACATTGGAATGCTCCCTCTGGTCCACGGCGGCCGAGAGCTTCTTCCTGACGATGGATTCGAGCTGCCTCTTCGACTCCATGAGCTGCTCCCGCTGGTCGGCGCCGGAGTCCCGGTACTCGGAGTCAATCTGGAGGAAGCGCTGGACGTAATTGGCGGCGGACTCGTAGTCCTGGGCGTCGAGGGCCTGCTTGACGCCATCAATGCAGTTGCCGCGCTCGACGATGGCGTCGAGGCGGAGGAGCGTGGACTTGACGCGGGACTGGGCGAGGTCGAGCTCGCGGACCTTGGCGCTGACGTGGTCGGCGAGGTCGCAGGTGGAGGTGACGTTGGAGAGGACGTGGTCGGAGTCGGACTTGACGATGTCGAGAACCTGGGAGGACTTGCGGAGGCCGAGGAGCTGCTTGTCGAGGTCGGAGCGCTGGGAGAGGAGGTTGTCGAGGTCCAGATCTAGGGATCGCTGGTACGCGATGCACTCGTGGAGGAGGCGCGTCATGGCGCCAACGTCCGTCAGGGCCCGCACGTGCGAGAGGGCCTCTTGGGTCCCGAATTTTATGGACGGTTGGTCCGACTCCATTGCCTTGATCCGGTGTCTCTCGGCGACGACGACGTTTTCGGTGTGATCTGTGTGCGCGGGTCTCAGAGTGGTCAGTTGGACTGTTGGAGAAGTCCAACGGAAGAGGAGGCATTAAAAATACGGAGAGACAAACAAAATGCCGAATTACATACATGCCCCTATTTAATTCAGTAATAAATTTTTGAAAAAACAAAAAAAAATTAAAATAATAAATAAATAATGATGGATGGGGTGTGATATCTTTGCTGGAAAGAGGTTGGAAAAGATTTGAATTAGAATCCATGGAAATGTTGGAGGAAAGAATGGGCGTATGTTAGATGAAGACGAGAAACTTCAATGGAGAAAAAAGAGAATTGGATGTGAGGTCTGCGATTTTGACAAAAAAGGAGGAAGAAGAATGGTTTGGGGATCGGGGTTTTTGCAGGGTGGCATTAGGTGTGAAGGAGATGATGAATGTCTAGGTCTTAGGTCTTGCATTTTCTTTCATTTTCTTTCTATTTTTATTTATTTATTTATAATATTATTCAAAGATATATTAGAGTTATTTTAAAAAATATATATTATGGTTATTTTGGGAATAATGGTGGGTGAGGAAATAACATTTTACTTTTTTAATTTTCTATGATGGGTGGGATTATCATGTGGGTGGGAAAATAAGACACTGGGGTAGGTCTAGTAGCACTCTTTTATTTTAGTAGTGTGTGGTTTTACTTCTCACACACCTCTTGATAATTTATGTCAGTTGATCTTCTTCAATTCATTCGATCCGACAGTCGAAAATTAAAAATATGTGAGAAATAAAATAGGATGTGTGGATATCACATCCCTTATTTTAATAATAATAATATTATTATTAAGGATAACTTGAATCACACGGATAACAACTTATCTACTAGAATACTGGACAAATTTAATATAGCTAGCATTATTTGAGAAATAAATTGATGGTGATTTTGTTTTATCTACTTCACGATCCTTCAACCTTTTAATAGTGAAGAAATATCATTGGACTTTAATATCAAGTGAAAAAAAAATCATCAACATATACATGATTCTCTGGATTTTAATATTGTAAATTTTTTTAAATTATAATTACGTGGTGACAACTAACATCCTATAAACTGTAATTTTTTTTAAATTTATATAGATGATTAAAGGGTATTCAAATGATGGATTATTATAAAGACTATCTTTAGCTAATATTAAAAACTTGAGCGATTCTACTTATGACACTTGTACGATAAAATAATAACATATCATCAGTTAAAGAGTAATTATTCTTTACACGTAAAAAACTAAGCAATATCCGTACCTTAAGGCATTGCAAAAATAAAAACCCGGAGCCAAAAATGCAAAAACATTTGGACCATTTCTCGATTTATGCATGTCATACTAGCCCAGGGGCCATGCTAATCTTCTCTGTATCGTTCCAATTTTATCAGATGTCCCCGAAGGGACAAGCGTACTTGCACACAAGCAGTATATAAAGCCTTTAAACGTAACGCCTGTGACCGATGTGGGATAACTTTGCTTTGCCATAACGATGTGGTAATAGCTTAAGCAGCATTCTTGACTAAATTAGATACGCAGCGGTGAGTGGTCATCCATCCGAATGACTGCCGGATCATAAAACTTTTACATCTGGAAATTGCATCACAACAATTTGCCTAATCTGCTTAGTTTTTTTGCAATACAAACATTGGCGGACAGCGGTGAGTTGTTTCGTAGATTTGTGTACAGTCTATTTAGAAAGCAAGAGAAAGTTAAGAGACTAATAGATGATACAATAAGAATACTTGTTAAGTTTTGCATATTCATGCAGAGAAAATATACATTATTTCTATCAGAATATCAATTTGTTTGCTGCAGGACAATTAACTAGTAAATATCGCGAAAATTAAGTCGACAAAGCAAGAAAAGATATTCTTATGAAAGTATTTCAGAAAAACAATGTTGTACACCACAAGCTGACCTCTGCGTTTTCCTGAGTGTTTGTTTGACTCCCATGGTTTGCTCTGAATCAAAACTAAGAAAGCTTCTTGTAAAACGTCGGCTGACTTCAAGGTAGGATGTCTGAATTTCAGCCTAACGACAGCAACAACGTCAATGCTCAAACAGTGCGAGTAGGCTCATCTTTGTCTACAAACAAACACAAAAGCATACAGCTCCTCCACAATCCCAGAAAGAGATCTGTTTCAGTAGCATTGCGATCATCCTTGCCGTGAACCATAAGCGCATCCAGTTCTTCCATGATCCCTGAAGAATAATTTCAGTTACTTGCGGGATGAAGCCTTTTGAAGAGCATTCGTCACATTTGTGACTGGGCTGTAAGTGGAGCTAGTAGCTTGACCAAAATCTAACAGATCTCTCATGCCAGAGCCTACAGGGAGTTACAAAAACCAGGAACATGTGCCGTAAAGAATTTAATAACCTCTCCTAGGGTTAGCCTGTATCTTCTTGATCAAGTAATCCTCCAAACCAAACGCTGCCTCCACGATTCTAGTGTTTGGCCTAATTTCCACCTTCATTACCTCTCTCAGCATTTCCTCCATTCTCACCAGCTCAATCTCTTCGCATATCCCAGCAACCACCGTTATCCAAGTATCCGTATGAGGAACCTCTCCGTGCTTTAACACCTCCTCCAAAACTCCACAAGCTTCCTCAACCCTACCCACATTGCAGAACCCTTTAACCAAAGCATGAATGACCGAGAAATGCGGCGAGAACCCCTTTGACACCATCGTCTCCATATAACTCTTAGCCTCATCAAGCATCCCATGATCGCATAACCCGCTAACCAAAGTCCGATAAGATAACAAATTTGGTAAGCACCCATTAGATGCCATATCCTCGAGAACCTTACAAGCATCCGCCGGGCGCCCTTCTCGACAAAATCCCAATATAACAGTGTTGTAATGCACAATATCAGGATTGCACCCCTTCACCTTCATCCTACAAAGTAGCTTATACGCCTCACGAAGCTGCTTCTTCCTACACAAACTATTCAACAAAGTGGTGTAGCTCAGCGTATCGGGCACGAACCCTTTGTTCAGCATATCCTCCAAGAAATCGACCGCGGTATTCACCTGCCCCTTCCTACACAACCCCTGCATCAGAATCCGATACGAATGCACATCCGGCACAAGGTCTCTCTCAAACATTTTGTTGAACAGTTGGTAGGCAATGCTGAGATCCCCGTTCAAACAAAATGCACGCATCAGTATATTGTAGGATTCCGTATTGGGCATCACCCCGTGACGGTGAGCATCCTTGAAGACGTCGAACGCCGGCCGGAGAAAGTTCCGGTGAGAAACGAGAATCTGAAGAATGCGGTTCAGGTGTTTGACGGAAGGCCTGCAGTCGAACTCCATCATAGTATAGAACACTCGGAGGGCTTTCTGGGGCAGATTGGCTTCGCCGTAGATTTTGATCAGGTGGGAAAAGAGGGCGGGGGAAACGGTGTAGTTTTGGGACTTGAGGCGGAGGAGGAGGTCGTCGACGAGGGAGAAGTATTTGGACCGACCGAGCTTGAGAATGAGAGTGAAGTAGGAGGCGTAGGAGTGGCGGAAATTTGGGTGGCGGGCGGCGTAGTCGAAGATTTCTTTGGCGAGGAGAGGGTCGGATTGGGAGGCGATGAGCTTTTGGACTCTGGAAGGAGAGCCGATATCGGGTGTTTGGTGACGGGGTTGGGAGGAGTGGAAGAAGGAGGAGGAAGAGGATGGGGTTTTTGGCGGGAGGGCGAGGTAGCGAGTGGCGGTCGTGGCGGTTTTTGCTGAGCACCGAAAGAGTAGATGCATTTTTTGCCTCTTGTTTCATTCGTTTGGTCAAAAGTTGTTTCGTGTGTTTGTAATTGTCACTGGTATACGCCCACAGGCCCCATACACAAATATTTGGGATGTTTTTTTGTTTTGTTTTATATACAAAGTATTTTTTATTTATTTATTTATATATAATACTAAGAATATCAAATTTGTAATCCAAATTTGTCATTGGCACTGTCACTTTAACATCCCATCATTTCAATTTTGCACGTATGTCCAAAATATGTTTAACCATAATAGAATCACTAAGTATAATTTATATTTAATTTTGTCAATCTTCCGATAAGAAAATTTTATATTCTTTACAAAGAGCAAAGATAGAAAATTTGGACAAAATCCAAGATTTTATGAGTCATTAAAAACAAGAATCCCAAGCAATACCATGCATACAATAAAAAGAAAATAAACAATATGATGCAAAAGCTTACAAAATAAAAGAGAGGGAGAGACATTTTTTTGGTTTGAGGTGGTTTTTGAATGAGTTACGATGTTTTAATTTTTTCATATGCTCTAAAGATTTTAAAATCACTCAATTTACATGTTTTTTTAATTTGTAAATGTCTAATTATTTATAAGAATGATGATTTTTTTGTTAGTGTGGGGTAAATATGTCTTCCACATCAACTCAGTTACTGATTTCTTGTTCACCAGATCATTAATTTAACTAAAAGTCATATAATTCATCAAACAAAAGTGTAAATTACTGCAACTTCAAAACCTAAGGAAGTAATATGAGAAAATTAAAATTTCGTGGCTAGTTTTGAAAATCTCCTAAAATATGAAAGGTGTAAAATGTAGATAATTTTTTTTTTTTCATTTTAAGGTAAAAATAAAGTAGCTAGTCCACTAGTATTTTCTTTTACTTAAGTATGAATTTTATAAACTACTAGTTCAACAACAAATTATTATGATTAATCCATATCACTCCCTACTAAATTGTAGCAGTATGATATTAAAGTTCGGAAAATAAAAAGAGAAAAACAAAATAAAAACAAGCTTAAAAAAAGATCACTTAATATTACGATCTAGTAATTTTTTTTTCATTTATACCTAACAGGTCTTAGTTTCGATTCTTACCAAAGACGAATTTGAACCACATTATTGATAATATGTTGTAAAACTAAGCCTAACTCTTCTTACTTAGTGTACATAATATCGTTTGTTAAACTGAATAGATATAATATTGTTTGTTAAAAAAAGAAAAAATGATTGCTCATAAATCCTCCACGTGTGCGTATTCACCACCACGAGATCCAAAGTGATTGCAAAAGAAGACGTGGCAATCCTCCTAAAAAAATATCTAGTTCGGGAAACCCCAGGCTCGCAAACACGTGTCCGAAGTGGGTCCCGCCGGCCGCTGATGAGATCAATACAAGCGAAGGGAGGAACATATAAAACCGGTGGCGGAGGATGCCCCACGTGGGCTTCGCACCCAGAAGCCAATGACGACCCTCCTTTTGATCCAGGCATCGAAAGATATTTTCGCGGCTGTGAGCGAACGCCTAAAATCCACCCCCTTATTTCCCGAATTTCACTGGAAGGTTTTTCAGATTTTTTTTACTGCCCTTCTTCTTCTTCGAGCTCAAAAAATTGGTGTAGTTTGAATCTTTGATCTCTGCAACTCGGAATCGTTAAACCCTAGTTTTCTGTTGACTTTTGGATTCTTACTAGGTCTGAGAAATTGGGTTTTGGATTTTTGGTGGAGTTGTGAAAAATGGGTGAAGTTGCTGTGAGTGGTGGTGAGGGTAGGGAGGCTGTGAAGCTGGAGAAGAACGTGGAGGATGAGGATGCCGGCGGAGGAGGCAGTGGTGGTAGTGGTTCTGGGGAGGTGGTGAGCTGGGAGAGCAACCTGCCAAAAATGGTGCTCCGGGTTCTGCTGGTTGAAGCCGATGATTCGACGCGGCAGATCATCGCTGCGCTTCTCCGAAAATGCAGTTACAAAGGTCTGTTGCACTGTTTCCTTTTCTGGGTTTTGAAAATTTTGATTATTTGACTTGAACTTTGGTAAAAAGTCTGGATCTTTTTCTAATTTAATGTTTTTGGTAAGGTGATTCTGGTAATTTAGAAATTTGAACAAGTTTGTAGAAAGTTTGGATCTTCATTTTCTAAAAGTAGACTGTGTCTGTTTGGATTAAGCAGTTGTTGCAGTTGGAGATGGATTAAAGGCGTGGGAGGTCATAAAGAGGAAACATCATAAGATGGATCTTATATTAACAGAGACAGAGCTGCCGTCGATTTCCGGATTCGCGCTCCTTACGTTAGTCATGGAACACGACATGTGCAAGAACATACCTGTAATAAGTATGTTGCTTTGACCTGACAATGTTCTCTTTTCTTTTTAATTGTTTGTCGGTGTGAAAATGGAACTCGAAACTAAAGTTTTCGGATTGCCGTGCAGTGATGTCCTCTGAGGATTCAACTAGCAGGGTTTTGAAATGCATGCTGAAAGGTGCAGCTGACTATCTCATTAAGCCTGTAAGGCGGAATGAGCTGCGGAACCTTTGGCAGCATGTTTGGAGACGGCAAACTGTATGTTCCATTTTTCACCTTCCCCCTTCAGTAAATCTTTGTTGTTGATTCCTTGGTTTTGTTTAATTGCGCGGCAGTGTTACAGTTTACTGATACATATCTTTTCTCTTGCTGTTTTACTTTCTACCAGCGTAGCGGTGCACTGGTTCCACAAAACGTTAATGTTACACAGAAAAAAGTTGAAGCCACTTGCGAGAACAATTTAGCAAGTAAACATTCAAATGGTTACGCAGCTTCCATGCAGGAAAATAAGGAATGCAGTGAGAAAGGAAGTGAAGCCCAAGTAAGTATATTTGATAATTAAGTTGAAAATATAGGGTTTAGGATAAATTTAGAGTTCTCTACAGTCTCACAATTCTCGAAGAGAACTTCAATGCTTTTTTCTTCTCCATAAAAGATGTCCGTAACATCCCACATCATCGAGAGAGTGGATGCTCTAGGTCTTATAGGTATATTTTCATATCTAACTAGCATGAGGTCTTTTGAGAGCTCAATGGTTTCGGGTTCCATCGGAACTCCGAAGTTAAGCGAGTTCGCGCGAGAGAAATCTCAGGATGGGTGGCCCACTGGGAAGTTCTCGTGTGTTTTCTCATAAAGAAAACCGTGAGGACGTGGTCGGGGTCAAAGTGGACAATATTATGCTACGGTGAAGTCGAGTCTGGATGTGATGGGCCCCGGGCCGGGGTGTGACAGGTCACTATAGCTCAAGAAAACTTTATACTTCTAGAATAGGTTGGCTCCATGGAATTTCATATACAAACTGCATCTCTTGTGCAGAGTTCTTGTACGACGCCTTACATGGAAGCTGAGAGTGCGTACATGCAAAATATGCAGGATATTCCACAGCTAAGGTATGAGAGTGCTTCTAATTTAAGCAATACAGATATGGAAAGGCTCAAGGAGTGTGCTAGACCGGACAACGAATCTGCTGTGCTTGAGAGTGAAGCAAAAGGTATGCCATATTTTCCTGCTTTCTCTCTGTATTTGTTCGGAGTTTTTTTTCGTCTTTCAGTAATTTTAGAATGGGGTATCCAACAAGCCATTTGTTTGCAGAGAAGTCAGGTACATTTGGATCATATGATGTTCCTTTGAAGGAAGGTTATACCTCAGCTGGATTAAGACTCAGAGAGGACAATGTTTCTGCTACAAAAATGGTTCAAGGTGAAGGTATGCAACCGGAAAGTTACAAAGTAGATGCTAATATCACTTCTGAAACTCACATCAGCCGTTATGGACTGGATGAACCCTCCAGTGGAGCTATTGACTTTATTGGAGCCTTTGGTAATTGGCCAAAGTGCACTGCCGGACCCCCTGACAATAGAGACGATGGTACAAAGCACATGGGATCCACTCCACAACTGGAACTTTCTTTGAGAAGTACTCTGGATGGTTCAAACAAGCAAGTGAACGATGAAAGGCCTGTGCTGAACCATTCTGATGCTTCTGCCTTTTCATGGTGAGTGTTCGGGTCCCTGTTTTCGTAAACTTGAGCGATGATGAGAACAAAATTAAAGCATGCGTCTGGGGTCTTCTTTATCAATTTGTGAATGACAATTTATAGTGATTTTGATCTGAATAATAACTAATAAGGAATTATATATTAATAGTGGCAGCTATACAGTGGTAATTCTGTTGGCAGCAGCAAAGCTGATGGCAACAATACAATAATTATTAAAAAAAATGGAATAACTTGGTGCTTAGGGAGAATCTTATTACCCTTTGTAAGAATGGAAACAAAAATGGAATGACTCGTAACTTGTTTAAACATTGAATGCGAACTAGTGATTAGATTGCTGAATTTTCTGATCAACCAATTGTTCTTTCATGCAGGTATAATAATAGCAAGACGTTGCAATCCTTTTTCCCAACATTTCCCATCACTGAATCGGAGGTTGCAAATAAATCCCATGATAGCCAGGAAAACATGTCTACCTTGGTTTCCGGTCAAACTGAGGAAGCTGATTTATGCTTTCCACGCTCTCAACTTGGGATGGTTCCTATCGCTGGGGCAAAGTCTGATAATATTTGCACTGCATACGGTCATTCTTTCCCATCCTTGTTTCATAGACAATCAGATGTAACCCCGACATGGAGTAGCAAATTGGCTTGCAATGGAGAACAATCCTCCTATCCTGTGAATTCCCCATATCATTCCAATCCTGAAGTTTACCTCTCAGAAGAAGGTTGTCACCTGTCTGACAAGACAACCTATAAATCTATTGGCCAGACTGTGCAGGGGCAGAACAACCAGGAGCAAATGGAGGAACTGAGACCTGGTTCGCCTGCTACTGGGCAAAGTGGCTGTAGTAGTTTAGGCAATGCTGTTGGTAATGCTATTGGACGCAGTGGACATGGAAGCAATTGTAGTAGCACTAATGGAAATGCCACTCTGGCTGTGTCTGGTGAGATGGAGGCTTCTGAGAGTTTGAATGACAGTGGTCGTTCTGTTCATGAGGGATTTGGAGGAGCTGATCCTCTTCGTTCCAGCCAAAGGGAAGCAGCTCTGACCAAGTTCCGACTGAAGCGGAAAGATCGATGCTTTGAAAAGAAGGTATTATCATCGTCTTTAATTTTAGTAATCATCGTAATGTCACATTTGAGGGCTTTTGAAGAACACATTGTTGTTGCCATGTACAAGGAAAGCTCGGTTTAACTACATTTGCAATTATTATTCTCCAACAAGCTTTAGTACTTCCTAACCAACTCGGAAACTTCCACTTTAGATCGAATGTACCGTACACCTCTCTCACTTTTGAGCTGCTAATACCAAATCACCTAAATAACCCATGTCATAAAGGTGTTCCCAATCCTTAACAGCTAATGTCTATACGCAGGTCAGATACCAAAGCCGGAAAATACAAGCAGAGCAGCATCCCCGGGTGAAAGGTCAGTTTGTGCACCGAGCACGAACTAATGCTCCAACTGCCAATGCTGTTGGTTTGTGACACCGAGTTTTGGCAACGTACCTGCGACTGCAAGTTAGTAGAAAGCGTGTGTGGTTGTGTGATGCAGGAGTCTTTAGATACTGTTGAAGCTGTTGTGAAGAAGCACAGAAAGATAAAGTGGTTGCAGAAGACATGGGTTCTTGTTTTGGTTTTGGTTTTGGTTTTAGTTTTGGATGTTAGAGGAGGTAGTGGTGTAAGTATGTAGGGATGCTACCTTAAAAGTGTCACCATCTGCTCTGCATAATATATGGTTTTTGTATGAACCTCGGAGAGTGATTTGTGGTTAGAGGTTTAATGGTATGATAATTTGCATTAATGTGTTGGGTATGTAATTTATGAAGGGCGAGTGTGTTCTTTTGCTTAATTACGTGGAGGTTAAATTGTTGTCGCATGTTATTTTGTATCTAGAAGGTTAATATTTTCTTCAATTTGAGGTGTCTAACGTGTAAAGATTGTTGTTTTTAAGGCTGTTTTTTTATTGAAGAGTTAAAACGACATTCTTGGCTGCATGCATGAATCAAATGTCCTTTTGGGCCCACTAGTTTGGCTGCAAATAAGACGTGTCTTGCATTATTAATGGCTCATCTTAAGTCATCTTCAATTGAAGGGTTCAGAAGGTAAGAGTGTCGAAAATACTCTGAAAATCGTCTCTAATCCAGGGTTAGGCCAAATGGCTCTTGGGCTTCCCAGAATCTGAAAAGGCTAAAGGGCTAATCGGTTGACCCAATCCAGCCAGCCTCGGGCTGGGCCAGAAATTTTAACATTCTTGTCTGATATAACCCACATGAATATATATAATATAAATTCCCGTCGGTTATATCCAACAAGAATTCTAAGCCAAATTTCAAATGCAACCACTAGCTAACGTTAGTCAGCTGTTATTTTTTATTTTTTATATTTTTTTTTTACATTTTATTTTATTTTTACACTATTTTTTTTTCCTATAACTTCTATTTTACAAAATTTGTTTCATATATTTTTTAAATTCTTTTTTTTTTCCTATAACTTCCTAAGCCATTATACAACATTACATACTAGAATTTTGGCTAAAAGCCACCATTTTCATTGGTGTCTACTGTCAAGTGTGGACACTCTCATTGGTGACAAACCTCAATGGCCACCAAGCAACCACTAAACTAGAGAACATGTCCTATGTAGAGGACTCTATTGTAACAAGGGCTACCAATATTGCATTGGTGTCATCTGCAAACAATACCACCCTAATTCACATTGATGGCAAAGTTGCAAAATAATATTAATAAAAAAAAAAAAAAAAAAAAAAAAAAAGGGGATACCTTCGGGGACACCCAGATTTGAATATAATATTTCCTTTTTTATTTATTTTTTTTGGGTGAGGAAACAAATTGTAATATCTTTGATATGAGAATATACTACAAATTTGCATAACTGATCTTTTATACAATTTTGAACAAATGTTGGGACTCAAACTTTGAAAAGTGTTAGAAAACTCCTATTCCAAAGAGCTTAATCATACCAATAACTTGAATTTGATCATTTGCTGCACCCAAAGTCAAATCCACAAAATTCATAAAAATAATGTTAACTCAACATCAACTATTAAAGCAATTAGAGTTGAGGACATGTATCACTAGATATGATCAAATAAATACCTGGGAAATGTAGTTTTTCAAGAGGTTTGCAGTCATAATATTAGCCATGAAGACTCTCACGTTGCTGCTATTATTGGCCTAGCTGGTTAAGCCTCTAGCTCTGTTTGTTGTACTTTGGGGACTGCTTTGTAATCTGTTATTAATAAATTTCCTTCTTTCAGAAAAAAAACAGGTAAAATGCGAACATAGAATTACAAGGTCTAAACATCAACTTGAAAAACCAAAATATCAAAATCAGATAACTTAAAAGGAAAGATATAGCTCCCACACATACTCATGAACCTAGGCATCATGCACAAATGCCCACTTCTAACAATATTAATATTGTTCTCAACTTGTTAATTATTATCTGCACAATTCGATAATTGTGGGGTTCTACCACAAAATGCCTCGGTGTTTGTCGGGGTGAGATTATGATATTTAAACTCTTTTTTTTTTTTTTTCAGAGACAAGGCTGATGTGGAAGATATTACCATGTACTCTCACGCGGGACCCAATTACTGGATCACATGTGAGATCCACACATCAGCAACCATGTGGAACCACGATGACTCACCCAACACTTAGGGCCAAGGGGATGCACCCCTCATGTGATAGTACGGACTTGCTCCCTGACTCTTATACCTTATCAATTATTAGGGAATGGGCCTATATTGCCATGTAATGGGTGGGTCCCTTGAGTTCATATGGTTACCGATGTGTAGATCTCTCACGTGTGACCTCCTAATTGGGTCTCATGTAAATGAGTGTGTTGAAATATCCCACGTCCACTGGTGCTTCATTCAATCCAGCATCACCTATTTTAACTAGGGAAAACTTGATATGAATCCAATTTTGTGAGTCATTTTTGAGATAAGCCCAATTATATTCCATTTCAGTTTTTTTTTCATTCTCTTACCAATTTACTCCTAAAATTCCTTATAACTAATCAATATTATCCCTTGATTTTAGGATTAGTATTTGTGATAAGTTTTACCTATTTGAGGTTTAAAGAATAAAATTTCCTTAATGATAGGATAATTGTTGGAATAAAATTACTTCCTATATATCTCCAAGTGAGGATACGCCTCTTCATTTCTTCTTCATTTATCTATTATTTCTTTTTAGTTTGTTATCTAAAACCTTCTTCTTAGTTAGGATTTATCATTTGCCTTGCGAATCTTCTTCTTCTTTATCATTGTTCTGTTTTCCTCTTCTCTTCTCAGGCTTCCACTATATATGAAATTTGATTATGTTTGATCAAAGAATGGAGGTCGGTTGGCTTCTTTCATCAAATTGCTTGTTGTGTTCAAATTAGTTAATTTCATGATCAAAATTGGATCTTCATTTGAGTTGTATTTTTACTCAAATTAATTGATTTCATGGCCAATATATCATTTATGTATTAGTACCTTTTAGTTAGGTTCTATATTTTTGCAACTTAATCTATGATAAAAATATTTTATTTTATTAAAGGGTAAAGAATTGAAACAGTTTTTTAAATGTTTAGTAGATTGCAGATGTTTAAATATTCGAAGTTTGAAAACAAGGGGTAAAATAGGTTTAAAAATTAGTTAAGTGAGAAATTTTCAAAAAATTGGAGTAAAATCAATAGTACGTCAATTTTTTGGACCTATATATTAATGCCCCTTTTAACTAATACATTATCATGTGCATTTCATTATTAGAAAAAAAAAATAATAATAATAAAAATATAAAAAAACATAACAATACTGTATGCATCCGAATCGATCGGTTTTCATCTGTTATATATATGTATATATATAATTAAGGGACGTAATCAGAGTTGACAAAGTTTTCCCTACGTCGGATCCTGCCACATGGGTACACGCACCACCTATCTTGTACAAATTCCAATGGATCGTTGACTTAAATTTAAGTTGAGTTTGGTTCTCGGAATAATCTTGAAGCAGATATGAATCCTATGACATAATCATATACAAGTTTATCATACATAATTGCTTGTTTTCATGAATTTTCAGATGGAACCACAAAATACTAAACAAGTTCAGATTGTTGATATCCCTGGCCATGTTCCTGATGATGGGATTGGATCAAGCTCTCTGGATTCCATGGAACGTGCCACGGTTCTCACCGTAGATTGCACTGCAGAACAAGAAATTCCCAAGGTCATACTCTTAATGCCTGTAGTTGTGTTGTTGTAATGGTTATTGAAGTAACTGTTGGATACCAAGCACTTCATATTTTCTCTTCATATTCCTGAAATATTCCCCCCTCCCCTCTCATTATTTGGAAAGATGCATATTTGGTATTTTGGATTAAGGATGCAGATTTGGTAGATGTTTTGCCTTCATGACCTTTATAGTGAATGCTAGCTCATGTTTAATTTTGTTGTTTATGGCTCGTTTGAGATTGCTTTTATAAGCAGTAGTTTTGTTAAGCGTTTTTGTTTTATTATGAATACATTAAAAAATTTATCAAAAATTCAAGTGTTGCTTGAAAAAAATACTTGGAAGTGCTTCATGGAGAAACATTTGACGTGTTTCTTCGGAAGTGGCCCATAAACGCTTTTAACACTTTCTGCTAAAAATGCAGTAGAAGCACTTTTCTTAGATTATTGAAGAATGACGGAAAGGAAGATATGATATGTATTCTCACATAATTGTGTTCATGTTATTCATTTTGCATATATACTTACAGCTATAGCACTAAGGCCTCCTTAATATAGTACTTATTGGGTTGTTTTTGTGATATTTCATATGGCACCACAAAATACTCAACGTGCTCAGATCGCTAACAATTCTGACGATGTTCCTCCTGACGAACATGCCACGTTTCGCTCCATAGAACTAAAATTTTCCGGGACTCTACTGTTACTGGCAGCGGTATTTGGTGTTGTCATAATATTTATGGATGTATGCCTCGGCATTTTTGCCAAAAGTTCAACAATACTAACTGTTGCAGCACATTTGTATGCTGATGTTGCCACATTGGCCATCTCGGTGTGGGCAGTTTCCAGCTGGGAAGCCCCACCCAGTGAATCGCCTTATTACCGGCGGTTTTTAAGGATTGAAATTCTCGGAGCCCTACTTTCCATCCAACTCATATGGCTGTTCTCTGGGATATTGGTGTATGAAAGCATAGTGAAAACCATCGACAACACAGCTGAGGTGAATGCCGTCATAATGTTTCCTGGTGGCCTAGTTTGTCTTGGGGGAAGTGTGATCATGGCCTTACTTCTGGACCACATAACTGTTGAAGGACAAGATGGTGATTTTCGTCACAGCGACGAAATGACAATTTCTAGTACTCGTAATGATCGTAAACGATCACTTGATCATGATGCTGCTGATCAGAGTCGACCACTGTTGGATAAGCTTGCAAAAGACAGATATGAAAAGATAAGGCAGAGGTGCATAAAAGTACTCCGTGCACTTAAGGACTCCGTTCATGCTATTGCAGTACTGATTTGCGCGGCGTTCATTTTGTACGAGCCTGAGTGGAAGGTTTTTGATTTGATTTGCACCCTAATTTTCTCTGTGACTCTTCTGTGGAAGACTGTCAAGATGCTGCGTAATGTACTTGATGTCGTGATGGGAAGGACGCCTAGAGCGATTCATGTGAAGAGGACTTGAAAAGAAACTGTTGGAGATGGAGGATACGATGGATGGAAATTAATGAAATGCATATTTGGGCTGTCACAATGGGATAGCCGTTCTGGTTTGCAATGTGATGGATTATATCAGAGAGCTGGATATAGCTTCAGCAGTGTCAATCTGCAAATTGATTGTTAGTAGGTTTAAAGGACAAAGATGATTGATTATAGAAGCCTCCCTCGGTGTGCATTGCCAAGATGTTTTTCGAGATTTCTCTCTTCGTCCCCAACTTTGATTTCTGTGTTTCCCCTTTCCGTTTTTCGTTTGTTGGTCTCTCTTTACTTGTACATTGGACAGTTCTTTGGTGGACAGACTGTTCATTATCTATTAAAAGATGGATTGTCGATATTGTGTCGAACAAATGTCGTAACATTAATAGATAACATGTCAATAACTAAATATATCGTTGTGTTATTGGTACAATAATTGACATTATTAATATAAAGATTCACTTTCTATATATGTAAATGATGTCTGGAAAAATGATGCCAGGGTTTACAATGAAGATTGAGCAAGAAGTACAGGCCTTTTTATGCTCATTTCTTTTCAATGGATCTTCCCCCACTTTCCATCTAAGGACGACATGCTCTCTACGATACATGCAGATAGCGAAATTCGAAAGTTCCAACGGCCAAGAACTCTGACGTATATCATGCATGCTCCGAGGCATACTCGAAAAATCGCTAAAATACTTTCTTTGCAATGTTTGCATTGTTCTTTTTCTTCAAAAAGGTAAGAAATTTTGTGTACGTAATGGTAATGAAACCAATTTGAATCTTACTACTACTTGGATCTCCAAGTTTTATTGGTTGAAGCTTACCCATAATACTACTCTCAACACACAAAGAGATTATTTTTCCAAGCTCCAATGTCGAACCTGCCTTCTCCTTATTATCTGGTCTTCTTTGTATTCAGAACTTCTTGCGAGTTTTTATATCTTTGCGGGGAGGAAAAAAAAAATAAGAAAGATCTAAACTGGGTTGTAGGTTTTACTAAAATTGGTTTGGTTTAAACCGTTGGTTTAACATGATCTTCGTTTGAGGAACTGTAGGAATCCTGATTTATTTCAAGTGTTTTTGGGTTGTATTCTCGTCTGACAGGTTGTTGGGGTTGTAGCACTCCTGCCATCTTAGGTGTCACTGAAAATATATTCACATTGTGACATATCATGTGATGAGTGAGACAAATCACACGAAATTATTATATCCTCGATTAGAATAGACCTTCGTACTTGTATTGAGTGCCGACATTTGGGGCCATGCTTGTTTGTCAACTTCTTGTTAAATTAGAATCTTAATGCCTAAGAAAATATGTGAGGTGTGAAGAGATGCTACCCTTATCCACCGAACTAAGAATGCAATAGAAGACCCAAAATTCACAAGAAAAAAAAGACCAAAAATCCCCAATATTTTGTTTTTAGTTCTAACAATGATTTTGTCATGTGAATGTTAATAATGTTTGATTAATTATTTAATTATGCACATAACCTACACAATATGTTTGTATATATATGGCATATGGTAAGAATACATTACTGTCGCATGTATAATATAATATAAAGTGTTTTTCTATTTGGTGCTATTGTAAGCTTCTAAATCTCTTATTTATGTGTTTCTTTATGTAATTAATTAGAATAGGAGCACTATTCAATAAAATAAAATAAGAATATGAGCAAGGTCATCAATAATTTATTCATTATCCATTGATGCAAAGCGATCTCACAAGTGATTACTATGTATTTGCATGCAAAACTAAAAGAAAATAATAACGTGAATTATAACTCGTGTTGAGCTGTTTACAACTATAAATAGTAACTCTCCCAAGCTCATACATATTACATTATTGTAAATATGGATGCCCATGCATGCCTTGTACGTGAGTAAATGCAACAAATGGATGGTGAACTTGGTATACAACTCACCTCTACCACGTTGCTTGATGTGTTGCCCTAATGTTTAATTTGACCGCCCTTTTTGCATATAATGTAGCTAGGAAGACTTTGCTCGATGCAAGTTACCAACAAAAGTATGTGTACGTGAATTATAACGAATATATGGGATTAAGTTAAATGAAGCATGGTCAAAATTTGGATTAAGTTATACAATGGAACAATTGAAATATTGACATAAAAGTTGAATTTAAAATCTCCCACATCAAATCATAATCGTAGGACGTGGCCCCTTTGTTTGTTTGGAGAAAGTTAAGGATTAAGAGGAACACCTCCTCAAGATACTTTTGCTTTGTGGCCTATACACACAACTTTGTGTTTGGTGATCGAAATCGTTTATATTATAAATCATTCTATAAAAATTATCTTTGCAAAAAAATCAATTAAAATAACATCGTTTAGTTATTAAAATGTAACAAAAGCAGATGGATGAATTCTATAAAAACATTTTTCATTTAATTGATTAAATAATGTTGATTTTAATTAATTAGGAGGGGATGTGAAAAAAAAGATTGCTGATCAAATCATAACCAACGCCATTAATTAAGGTATCTACCTGCTACAATCCAAGAACACCAATCTAATATATTTCTTATATAACAATTAATATTCAGAGTTATCCACCATCCTCGAACACTAATCTAATAAATTTGAAATTTCTATGAACTTTCATTAGAAAAATAAGTAAATATTCTAAAAGAACTATCCGTCTGTTTATATATGTCTTGAACAGAGTGGACGAATCTTGCCAGGCCCTCGAGAAACTGAGGCCCACGTCACCTCTTCTACTTCTCCAAGTCCCCAACTGCACGGAGTTTGGTTGACTCAAGTTTTTTATTTGCTCTGTTCTCACTCTCTCTCCCCCCCGTCCATGCTTGTAGTCAAACAAAGCCAACAAGTCTTCTGGTCACTTGGAACATCTGGTGAGGGCTATAATTGTATTTGCATTGATGCGGTTGAATTTGATGACCAGTTGAGACAAAGGCTCCCCACCTCCCAAAATTTTCCGAAGATAAAATGGCTCTCAGCGTTGCCAGTAGGCTGTAGCATCTGCACTTGAAACACAGGGAGAGCCTTTTGCCAGTGGAAAACCGTAAGTGCCTAAAACTAAAAAGGTGCATTCTATCAATTCCTTAATTCTATTTATATATTTGTGTATGTGTGTTAATTTTCTTTTTTTGTGAATATTCTTCACTTTCTTGAAATGGTTTGATGGTGTGATAGGGTTTTTCACCAAAGATAGCTAATGGGGTTCTTTATTTCCTCATTTCTTGTGTTGTGATGAAAATTTGAAATGATAGCACTTGTTAATCTGCCTTTTGGGTTGTGATTTCCAGATTTTACTTTGATGTTGTTCATGGAAATGATCCTGTAAGTCTTATATGTATATTTCCATTTCTACTTAGCACGAGGCTTTTTGAGAGCTCATTAGCTTCGGATTTCATCAGAACTCTGAAGTTAAGCAAGTTCGAGCGAGAACATTCACATGATGGGTGACCCACTAGGAGTTCTTGTGTGAGTTCTTAGAAACAAAACCATAAGGGCGTGGTCGAGACCCAAAGCGGATAATATTGTGCTACGGTGAAGTCGAGCTCGAGCTAAGATGTGACAATTCATATGTTTGATTGGTGTCTGCTTAGAGTCTTCAGACAATAGTGATTTATCTAAGGCCTTTGATAATCTGAACGTTATGGACTAGTAGCATTCATGTTTGCAGTACATCTGCAGCAACAACTTTTGTCAATTTGATGAATAAATCAGGCCATATAGTTTGTTTTTGGTTCCGAGTTGATGCTACGAAGTCCTCCTAGAAACCGGTCTAGACAATCTGAGATGATTTTTGAAACTTGCTCCTATAGTTTTTGGTTTGGCTAAATTGCATTCCTGACATTTCATGGATACTAGATGATGAAAATGCAACTATAGCTGGTGAATTTGAGTACAAATGAGCTTCACTGGTCTATTGAACTATGTTAGGGCTGTGAGAAATTGGGATTTGGGGAGAGATTGCATCTTTTTTACGTTCTATGGCTATTTCAATTTTTTTAATGTAGAAATTAAGACGAAGAGATGGCTTCGGAAGCTACTATCAGTTAGAAATTTTATGACCTTGATCCTCAGAAAAGTATTTTGGCAGGTTTTTCTGCCTCCTGAGATTGCTAAGGACAGTAGATACTAGATAGTGTGACCAGACCACTGCTGAAGAAATGAAAACTATGGATCAGAAACCGTGTTTTTGCTTTCAGGAAGCTCGTAAACATTTTGACCTAGGAAGTTTAACATGCTTTTGTTATGTTTCGAAAAGTAGGGATATTGATAAAGATATAGTTTGTTATTCTGGGGTTTTGAGGTTCTAGAAATCTGTCTACATGAACGATACTATGTGTCCGTCAAAGAGCGTTTTGTATTCTCTAGGATGTCTACTCATCAGCTAGGAATTCCAATGGTTGAATGTTGAAGCCTATAATTGTAGTGCTGCAAACGTTGGTAAGTCAAAGCCAGAAAAATGATAGATGAAGTATTTGAAGAATTTCTTATGAATCTTTCCTTTCACGTCTTTCACTGGTTTTTCAATAGATTGTGTTCTTCTTGGTAAAAAACTTCATCGTACTACTGTGTTCGAAAGAGATTTGAGGTCACTGGCAAGTGTAATTATTTACAGATTTGGATACACTTCATTTGGTCTGTGCCAATCAATTAACTTCTTTGTTGGCTCATGAAAGTGAAGTAATGGAATCATATTGTGGTATTTTCTTTGTGCAATTTCAGAACATATTTTGCATACTGGCTGCACTAAGCATTCACTCATATTACTTGTGATCTTATTGTGGATTGTCAGATGGAACCACAAAATATTCAACATTCACAGGTTATTGAAATCCATCGAGATGTTCACGATGGTGAAACGAGTAATAGTGGGAGTAAGATTTGTGGGGAAGCACCATGTGGACTTGCGGATGTTGGATCCAACTCTAAAGATGCCAAAGACCGATCAGCCTCCATGCGCAAGCTTTTAATAGCAGTGGTACTTTGTGTTCTGTTCATGGCTGTTGAGGTAGTTGGTGGCATTGAAGCCAATAGTTTAGCAATATTGACAGATGCAGCACATTTGCTTTCGGATGTTGCAGCATTTGCCATCTCCTTGTTCTCTTTGTGGGCGGCTGGCTGGGAAGCCACTCCCCGTCAGTCTTACGGGTTTTTTAGGATTGAAATTCTTGGTGCCCTGGTTTCCATCCAGCTCATATGGTTGCTTGCCGGGATATTGGTATATGAAGCCATAGTTAGAATGATACATGACACAGGTGAGGTGAATGGATTTCTAATGTTTCTCGTTGCCGCATTTGGTCTAGTGGTTAATATAGCCATGGCCATACTGTTAGGCCATGATCATGGACACGGACACGGACATGGACATGATCACGGTGATCACAGTCACGGAATGACTATTTCTGCTCATCACCATCACCACGATCATGCTCACGAGAAACACTCGCATGGTCATGATCATGAGGAGCACTCACATGATCATGAGCACCCTCACACTCATGAAGATGATCATGAATACCACCATGCCGACAAGGATCTTGCTGAGCCACTGTTGGATAAGCCAAAAGATGGGCAAGTAGAGAAGAAGCAACGGAACATAAATCTACAGGGTGCTTATCTCCATGTGCTTGGAGACTCGGTACAAAGTATTGGGGTAATGATTGGCGGGGCAATCATATGGGCCAAGCCGGAGTGGAAGATAGTTGATTTGATCTGCACCCTAATTTTTTCGGTCATTGTTTTGGGGACAACTATTAAGATGATGCGGAACATACTTGATGTCCTGATGGAGAGCACGCCGAGAGAGATTGATGCAACGAGACTTGAAACGGGACTGTTGGAGATGGACGAAGTGGTAGCAGTCCACGAGCTGCATATATGGGCTATCACGGTGGGGAAAGTCCTGCTGGCTTGCCATGTGAAAGTTAGACCGGAAGCAAATGCAGACACGGTGCTGGAGGACGTAATAGCTTATATCAGAAGGGAGTATAACATCAGCCATGTCACGATCCAAATCGAGCGTTAGCTGTCTTTCGAAAGGGCAAGATGATATGGCTGCATATACTCTTCTTAGAAGGGTTTTAGATTTTTTGGCATCAAGATTGTGGTATTTAGGCAGGAAATTGCTTTCATTTCCTCCCTATTATCTAGATGTATGTTTGGTGCCAAGCTCTTGATAGTTTGAATTGAAGATGTAGATTCCAATAACAACGGAGCCTGGAATTATTTTGTGGGTTGGTTAAGTTAAAATTATACTACGCAATCAAATGCTTAAATTTTTTTTGTTACCTACATAAAATTGTATAATAATACACTTGAAACTTTCAAATTAGACAACATTAACACAATTTTATATGATAAATTCTATTCGTACCAGATCTATCAGAAAAATATATTCAATTCAAAATTAAAATTTCAAGCACAGACTCTTAAATTCAAACAATAAACAAATAAACTAATTAAGAATATATAAAGTGGTAAAAAGCTTACTAATTGACGAGATAAGTCAGTGGGACTTTCACACTTGCAGACTGTCTTTGTGGACCGTGAATTCGTAGCTTTTTGGAAAATTGAGCCGTACTGTTCTGGCTGTGCCTTCAGAAAACTGAATAGTTAAAAGCCAAACATGAAGGATCCGGCTTCCCTAGCCTTTCAGTTCTCATACATTTTCATTATTTTCTATTTTGTACGACAGTTAAAATATATTAATTTTTTTATAAAGATAATAAGATAGAAAATAATAATAATATAAAATATTAACGTGATTTAATCAGGATCACACAAATAAGAAAAGATAGAAATGTATAAGAATCGAAAAGGCAGAGAAGCCAGGTCCAAAACTTGAAAGCTAATTCCTAAAACACGTATAAGTACTTTACTCAAATGAATAAAATAATAAAACCTAATAATTACTTCCTAGAAAACCTGAAACCTGTGAGTTCTTGAATTGATAAAATAATAAAATATTAAAATTAGGAAAATTTTATTTAAACTCATGTAACTTCTTTCTACACTCAATTTAAATTTTAAATATTAATTTTCTTTTTTATCCTATTGCATAATTATCATTAAGTACAATATGAAATTAATAATAAAACTTAAATTCATCAATAAGCCCACACACTATTATTCAACTCTATCATCACTCTTTATTTATCATATGTTCATTCCAGCTAAAAAACAAGTAAGTTATGACTTGACTAAGTTATGACCCTAAATTTGATTAATCCTCCAACTAAGTTATGACTCGACTTATGGTAATGTTTTGTTTGTTTGGTTTCAATTTTTTTTTAGAGTTAGAAGACGAGTATTTGATTTTCAAATTTTTTTTTCTCAATCTCAAACTGCTCATAGTTTAAACTTTCTGCACCGCCGAAGTGAAAGTATTAAAAAATTGTTGCACACACCAAATTTCTGGGATGTATATGAAACCCTTTCTATGAATATAAGTTTTTGAGTAAATTACATTTACATACATCAGGTTTGAGGCCTATTTCAATTCCTTACAACATCTTCAAAACATTTCACTTTCATACCCTAAGTACTATTTTATTTCAAAATAATACATTCGTTACATTTTCCATCCATGGATCCGTTAAGTGCTGACGTGGCTGCCACATATATGCCATGTGGCTGCCAAATGTGTGCCACGTGGCAATTTTTTTTTTTTTTTAAACCTGAATTTTCTCAAAAAAAAAAAAAAAGGTAAATTACACTTTACTACCTCAGGTTTGGGGTCAATTTCAATTCCTTACAACATCTTTAAAACATCTCACTTTCATACCTCATGTGACATCCCACATCGTCCAGGGGAGTGATCCTTAAATGTATATTCCCATCCCTACCTAGCACGAGACCTTTTGGGAGCTCATTGGCTTCGGGTTCTGTTGGAACTCCGAAGTTAAGCGAGAAGGAGGCTAGAGAAATCCTATGATGGGTGACCCACTGGGAAGTTGCTCGTGAGCTCCCAAAAACAAAATCGTGAGGGAATGGTAAGCCCAAAGGGGACAAAATCATGCTACAGTGGTGGAGCGGGGCCCAGGAAGTGGTCTGCCCCGGGCCGGGATTTGACAATTTGGTATCAGAGCCTAACCCTGGTCGCGTGTGTGCCGACGAGGACGTCGGGCCCTTAAGGGGGGTGGATTGTGACATCCCACATCGCCTAGGGGAGTGATCCTTAAATGTATATTCTCATCCCTACCTAGCACGAAGCCTTTTGGGAGCTCATTGGCTTCGGGTTCTGTAGGAACTTCGAAGTTAAGCGAGAAGGGGGCTAGAGCAATCCCATGATGGGTGACCCACTGGGAAGTTGCTCGTGAGTTCCCAAAAACAAAACCGTGAGGGAATGGTAAGCCCAAAGCGGACAATATCGTGCTACGGTGGTGGAGCGGGCTCGGGAAGTGGTCCGCCGCGGGCCAGGATGTGACACCTCAAGTACTATTTTATTTCAATATAATACATCCATTAAATTTTCCATCCATTGGTCAATTAAGAGTTGACGTGGTAGCCACATTTATGCCACGTGGCAAAATTTTTTATTTTTTTTATTTTTTATTTTTTTTATATACATAATTAATTAAAGAAAAGTTTATAAAAACAAAAACAAAAACGCAGAAACCCATCCTTTTTCCCGTAACCCCCCACCTCTCTCCTTCACTCTGTTCACTTCCCCCAACCGATCCATGCCGTTGACTTCCCTCTCTTCAAACCCTGCGCCTCCAAATCCTCAAAACCCTCAAAAAACCCTATTTCCGCCATACCCTCCCCCCCGACCTCTAAATCGAAATACCCATAAATCTTAACCCTGACTCTGCTGCCACATTCACCCTGAAATCCTAGCAGGTTGGGATGTGCTGGGCATCGGCTAGACCGGCAGTGGCAAGACGGCAGCGTTCGATCTGCCGATTCTACAATGGTTATCTGAGAACCCTTTCGGGGTTTTTGAGATCTCCCTTCTTTTTCCACGCCTGACGCCTAGAAGAACTCACACCCAGATCCCACAGAAGAACTCACGCCCGACCCCATTGTATGCGTCGCTCTGTCGGAGGCGCGCATATGCGCTGGAGTGACCAAGGCAGCGGAAGATGGGTTTTTGGAGATCATTTGAGCTGATGCGGCAAGGCTGGTGAGGTTGAGGCACCCCGACGTGGTGCAGGCTCTGGATGAGAACAAGAATGCCATAGCAATGGTGATTGTTGGATCTGAGTCAGCCGAATCTGTCCATGGGGTGCAGGTGTTCGCGACGGAGGCGAAATCGCCGATTCTGGAGCACCAGGTGAGGGGTGTGCATGATAAGGGGTGGGGTGGGGGGGGGTAGGGGGGTTGTGGGGGAGGTGGGGGTGGGGTAGGATGGGGGGGTTTGGGTTGCGAGGAAGGGGAAGGGATGGGTTTCTGGGGGTTTTTGTTTATTTTTATTTTTATTTTTTAAAAAGAAAAACTTTTCTTTAATTAAATATTTTTAAATGCATAAATTTTTTATTTTGCCACATGGCACAAATTTGGCATCCACGTCAACACAAATATGGATCTCATATTTGCCACGTCATCACTTAACGGATGAAAGAAATTGAAATAAAATGATAGTAAATGTATGAAATTAAAATGATTTAAAGATGTTGTAAGGAATTGAAATCGAGCCCAAACCTGAGGGGGTAAAATGTAATTTACCCTTCTTTTTCTTTGTTTGAGAAAATTTAGGTTTTTTAAAAAAAATTAAAAATATATTTTATTTGCCATGTGGCAGACATTTGTTAGCCACGTGCCATATATATGGCAGCCACGTCAGCATTTAACAGATCAATGGATGGAAAATGTAACGGAGGTATTATTTTGAAATAAAATAGTACTTAAGGTATGAAAGTGAAATGTTTTAAAGATGTTCTAAGAAATTGAAGTAGACTCCAAACCTGAGGTATAAAAATGTAATTTACCCTAAGTTTTTTAATTTTTGTTTAAAGGATATCTTCACATCAATTAGATTGTAGACAAAACAATTTGGTTTATGGCCCAAAATAACAGCTATAGTATTTGAATATGCTCACAAATACTTTTAACCCTCAGAAGATTCAAGTATATTCAAAACTCAAGGTTTTGATTAGAAAAATACAAGCATAAATTATGAAAACTGTAACCATGTGAAGATGAATGTTAGTTTTAAACAACTATTTTTTCTCCAATGTTAATAATAGCAACCTTACTAGTTACTAGTATATATACAGAGAGTATTGTTGTTTAAAACTCAAGGCTTTATTAGATATATTGACACTTGCCATGAAAACAATTGAAGAATTTGGATATGGATTGGAATTGGTACCAGTTAGTTGAAGAGATCAAGGTGGGAGGAGGGACAAAGGATCCATAATACTTTTTAACTTTCGGAGTATCTTTGAAAACAAAACTATTTAATTTGAGAATTTGTTTTTTAAATGGATGTAAAGATAACTTTACATTTTGAATTAGATTTGGGAGGAGAGCTTAGATAATAAATTTAGGTTTAAAAAGATTTTAGATATTTAATTAAAAATAATATGAGTGTAGAAAGAAGTTGAATGAGTTCAAATAAAATTTCCTTTAAAACTATGACTTCTCCCTAAAAAACCTAGGACCTAGGTCAATTTGAATTCAGAATTGAATAAAATAATCATGTTAATAATATATATTATTCTTTATTAGACGTGTAAGTATAAAACTTGTAATTTAAAAGTAATAAATTTCGGTATTGGTTAAAGGAAAACTAATAAAAAAAGGTTTGAAAACTTTGAGTTTTAAAGATAATGACAATACAAAAGATCAAGTGAATAGTATTAGGATTGACTTTTTAGTATAAAAATATGATTTTTTGTTAAAGTGAACAGTACCGAGAGCTTTTCGTTAAAGTTTCCATTGGTTAAAGTAACGAATGAGAATTCTCTCAGGATCCTTTTTGTGAGGATTCCGGAGATCCTCCAATCACATCCGTTCATTGTACATTGTGCGGTCAGTTTTCGTCAAGTATTGTTTATATTTAATTTTAAATAAAAAAGATTTACAATGATTCCTGACCGCACGATATGAGATGAACTAATGTGATTGAAGGATCACCTACATCCTCACAAAAGGATCCTCATTCAAAGTAAACTTTTATTTAACATTTATTGACTCTTATTTTTTCTAAAAGTAGTCTTTGTTTTTTTATTTTTTTATTTATTTGGTGGCCTATAACAATTAAAAATAATAAAATAGCCGAAATAATTAGTATTTTTAACCTCAAATAACTAAAACTCTCCCTATGCTACAGCCCACGACAACC